GGTTTGTGACTCAAAACGGGCAGCCAGTATGTGGAAGTAGTTCGAATCACTCCACCAGTGATGCTCATTGTAAAACCCTTCCTGGAATTTATGTTTTCCTTTTAGCAACTGCAGATTCTGGGGAATTACCAGTTCCTGATTCAAGATCTTTCCATCACCCTTGTGGTTTGCCTCACAAGTAAGCAGCTCTGTTCTGGCCTGGTTCGTCCCAGGCCCTTCTCAATGCCACCTCTGGCCACCGTCACCTCGGCTGTGAATTTTGGGGAGGTGTCACTCCAGAGCTGCAGAGTCCAGCAGGAGGGGCTGCCCTGCACACCAGTTGCTCCTTCGCACAAGGCTTAAAGCTAAAAACGGGCTTCCTGGGTTCCCGTAGCACAGTTATTGTGGGCGAGCCAGATCCAGCACAAGCCCTTTTGCTTCTGGGTGGAACAGATGCCGAAGGAACTCCGAGGGTGCCAAGAGATTCCCTGGCAGTCATAAGCTGGACACGCTGACTGCATTGGCACAAGATACCTAATCAAGCCGAGCATCTTGTTTGAAGCCAACTGCCAGCGTTTGCTTGCACGGATTAGTGTGTTGTGCCCAATCCCCAGCTGGCATCATGATCTCAGCCAGCAGAGTGCCACCAGGACAGGCAGTGCCAGGGCTCGGTTGCCGGCCTTTCTCTTGGATACGGGCACCCCCAGGAATGGCTGCTTGGGCATCAAGCGGCCGGTTGCCTGCCACCCTGCTTCTCCCTCCCTCCTGCCTGAAGCAACGTTGAGTGGAAGCCCCCCTCCCCAAGCAAAGGGTGGTGGGATGGAGAAGGAGCTTGCTTTTCCTTGGGGCACCTGGAGATCCTCTGGAACATTCTGTCTCTGTCCTCCCAGTGAACCTGACCCACGCCTACCCCAAACTGGCCCCCTACCGGCCCCCCGGACGGCTGCTCTCTCCACCGCTGCTACTGTCCGTCCTCTTCAATGTGGCCCTGAGCTTCCTGCTCCAGCTCTTCGGCTTCCTGTATGTGAAGCAGCAGTCTTGGTACTGGCAGCTGCGTGGCCACTGGTGAGTACACACACACACACACACACACACACACACACATCCCAGTGCCTAGGAGGATCTTCCGATGTGCTGGACCAGTATGTAGCCATCTGGCCAGAGTATATACTTAGCTTAGAAAACTGTGTGTAGAGCAAGTAGCATTTTAAGGGTTAAAGTGCTGTCCCCTTAAGGGTAGCCTTCTGGGAAATGTAGTTTAGTTGTTGCATGATTATGTCTGTGTTCTAATTGGCCACTGGGAGGATCTTGTGTCTTTATGACCAGACATCCTGTTACATGCTAGGAGGGACCTGGCCTGCTGCCTGCCCAGGTCCTGCTCTTGACCCTGACCCTGGCCTGGCCAGAGTCGCACACTGGGAGCGGCTGCAGAAGGCCAAGAGAGGGCGGGTGGAGGGCTGATGGTCGGGGACCCTCCCTGTCTCCCTCCCTCCTTCCAGTGGGTGTCCTTTGGGAAACCAGACCACCTGCCCGGGCAATGGGACGGCCAACGCCACAGCGCAGGAGCACAGCATTTTGAGCTACGAGACCGCCACCCTCTTTCCCCTCGTGTCCGTCAGCTGCATCATCTTCGCCTTCGTCTTCTCCAAGGGGAGGCCCTTCCGGAAGCCCATCTACACCAACTGTAAGTGAGAACCCCCCTCTGCTCTTCTCCCCATGGCTGGCTTGGGGGTCTGGGCGCGAGGGAAGGCTTTGCAGTATCATTAGGGATACGGTTACGTTTAGAGGCCGGCTGGCCCTGTTGCTCTGGGTGGGTCTCAGTTCAAGAGGGAGGAAGAAGAGAGAAGTGAAGAAGAACCAGGCACCAGGTAGTAGAAGCAGCAGGGGGGGGGCTCAACTCCCACTTAGACCCCTCCCGGCCTGGGAGAACTTGCCAGGGGTCAAAGGCTTTCAGAGTGGCATCAGAGTGGGGGCGGTGGGGCTCTCTGCCTTCAGAGCTTGGCGGTTTCCTTGCAGACGTTTCATTACCAAACTAGGTAACGTAGTCAGTGTTAGTAGACTACTACTATCCCTGATGATGTTACCTATTGTTATCTAAAAGGACCCAACAGTCCTCCTCCTTCTCCTCTTCTCCAAATTATCCTACTCCCTTCCAGCACTGATGTCTGCAAGGAAACAGCCAAGCTCAGAGAACACCAAGGACCTCATAGCCCTCCTCCTTCTCCTTCTCCTCCTCCTTCTCCCCTCCTCCTCCTCCTCCTCCTTCTCCTCCTCCTCTCTGCAAACTTTCTAGCACTGATGATGTTTCCTAGTTGGGTCATGAAATGTCTGCAAGGAAACAGCCAAGCTCAGAGAACATCAAGGACCACATAGCCCTCCTCCTCCTCCTCCTCCTCCTCTTCCTCCTCCTCCTCCTCCTCCTCCTCCTTCTCCTCCTCCTCTCTGCAAACTCCCCTCCTTTCTAGCGCTGATGATGTTTCCTAGTTGGGTCATGAAATGTCTGCAAGGAAACAGCCAAGCTCAGAGAATACCAAGGACCTCACAGTTCCTCCTCCTCCTCCTCCTCCTCCTCCTCCTCCTCCTCCTCCTCCTCCTCCTCCTCCTCCTCCTCCTCCTCCTCCTCCTCTCCACATTATCCTACTCCCATCATGAAACAGCTGCAGGAAACAGCCAAGCTCAGAGAGCACCAAGGACCCCCTCCCCATTTCAACCTTGAGCTACAAATATCGGCTTCTGCTTTCAACCAGAAAGTGTTATAGGATTGTGGTTTCATCCACAGGGGTTCTAACATGCCCCCCCCCCTCGGCATTAGTCCTTCTGTCCTGGCGAGGTCTTGGGCTGTGTGTGTGTCAGAGATCCTCTTTCTTCCTTGAATTCACCCCAGAGACCCCCGTGGGCCTGATGTCGCATGGAACTGCCTGTCCCCCTGTGAGGGGCCACACATTCCCCAGGACAGACAAGGCCTCTCCTGCCTCTTTCCCATCCCCAGATATTTTTTCGGGCATGCTGTGCCTCCAACTGACCGTTGTCCTGTTCCTCTTGTTTGCTGACCTTCAGGGGGTCTACCAGAGGATGGAGGTGAGTGGGCAGGGTGCTGGCCAGAGGCACGTAGAGTAACTCCTATAGGGCAGAACTGGCTCCTCTTGGTTAGCAGGGAGAGAGGGGGGGGGAACCAGGCAGGCCCACTGATGGCAGCTTCTCTCACCCCCCCTCGCAGATTCTCTGCACCCCAACCATCTGGAGGGTCTACGTTCTGATTATGCTGCTGGTCACCTTTCTGCTCTCCTTCCTGGTGGAGGTAAGCAAGGTGTCCTTCCCCAGGCAAGGCTCCGCAGCTCCTGGGGAGGGAGCTATTGGCTCCTGGGACTCAGGCAGGGAGGGGCCTGGGGGCTGCAAAGGGGGGGGGAAGCTGGCTTCAGGACCTCTCTCCTCTCTTGCAAGGTGGGGCTGGAGATGGGGGTCTGTGGCCCTTGGCTGGTGCCCCAAACACTCTTTCCCTCTCCTTGAGTCCCACCGGGGGTCCTGATGGATGATCTCTCTGGACTCTCCTGCCAGGCAGGGGGTTGGTTTGCTCCTCTGGGGGCCTCACTCATCCCCATGGCATGGCATTGGGCTGGTCTCTTTCCCTGCCCTCCCAACCCTCACCAGGGCACCCCCCCCACGTGAAAGCAGTGGGGCACGGCCCTGGCAGACAGTGGGATAGAAGTGACCCCCACCCAACTGGGAAAGGGAGGGAGGCAGTCTCAGGGTGCTGCGCAACCCACTTTTTTCCAGCGGAGAGCCATTGTAGACGCTGGCACCCAGCTCCCCCCCCCAAAGCCTCCCTCCTTTCAGGGCTGGCTATGGCTCAGAGCCACCCTTCAGTGGCAAATGGCAGCCCAGGCGACCCCCTTCGTCCCCCTCTCCCTTCCAGGACGGCATCTTGCAGAACCGGCGCCTCTGGCTGCTGATCAAGGCGCTCTGCCGGTTCCGCTCGTCCAGCCGCTACCGGGTGCTGCAGCGGCAGCTGGAAGGGGACGCCATGTGGCCCCCACTGCACGGGCGAGACTTGGCGGATGACAGCAGCAGCAGCCAGGCCCACCTCAACCCGGCCTATGAGCCGGAGCAGCCCGCGGGCCACCTGGAAAGCTGCCCTGAGACAGCGCTGGAGGGGAGTGGCTGTCAAGCTTCTCCCGCCAAGTCCCGCAAGGACGATCAGGACCCGCAGGAGACGCGGTGCTGGCACCGTTGCTCGGAAGGGACTTTGCCCCGCGTGGCTGCGCCCTAGTCCAGGAGGCGACTGGCTGCAGGAGCCCCTCCAGGAGAACTGAGGGGGCGAAGACATGGGGGGGGGGTTTTCTGCGAAGGACCCCGGCGTGAATAACATTAAATCTGCAGCATTCAGTCTGGGTCGGTCCCCAGGATCAGAGCTCGGAGGAGCTCAGATTGGACTCTGCAATGTTATCCCAAAACCTTCAGCTCCTCATCAACACAGAAACGTCTGAAAAATACGGCTTGAAGCTTAACACCTCAAAAACCAAGATGATGGTCGTCAGCAAACAACCCATTAATTTACCACCAATAAATTCAGAAGGAATACCATAGAAAAAGTTGAAAGGATCACACACCTCGATTCTAATTTACACGAAAGCTGGGACATGACCACTGAAGTAAAGACTAGGATAGAGAAAGCTCGAACAGCATTCTTCAAAAGGTCTTCTGCAGTCACGACAGAAGCCTAAGACTGAAAATCAGGCTTGTCAGATGCTCTATTTTTTCTATCCTGGTCTCTGACAGAAGGCCACCTGAAGAGACTAGAAGCCTTTGAAATGTGGATTTATAGGTGGCTGTTATGTAGAAGCTGGGTTGACAAGATCAGAAATGAGGAGGTGATCAACCGCCTGGGAAAGCCAAGGGAAATCATCAAAACAATTAAGAAATGAAAATTAGAATATTTCAGACATGTGATGGGACACCGAGAAAAATACGGCATACTCCATTTAATCCTCCAGGGAAAGATGGAAGGCAAACGTGGTCCAGGCAGAAGAAGAACATCGTGGCTTCAAAATCTAAGGGACCGATTTGGACAAAACCCAGCAGCCCTTTTTCGTGCGGCTGCTGGTAAAAACAGGATTGCCAACATGATCGCCAATGTCCAATAACGGATAGGACACAACAACAAGAAAAAGGTTATCCCGAGACACGCGGATTTGCTCTCATTTGAGAAAATGAAGCCTTTTCCCCACCAAAGGACACCCGATGCTTTGCTCGTGTGCTTTTTGCAGGCCATAGAAATGGGGGGCGGGAATGGGGGGGCACAGGGGGCTGGGGGTGCAGCTTGAGGCCAAGGACAGGGGTCCTTAAGACAGCGTCTCCCAGGGGACAGCGACGCAACTGGGGGAAGATCCACGATCTGCAGCCACAATTAATTTAAATAGAATTTCGTTTATTCCACGTGGAAACGGCCGGAGGGAGGAGGCGGGCTCCGGGGTGAGGAGGGCAGACCCTCCAGAGGAGGAAGGCTCGGATCCTAGTCGCGCTCGAAGGCCGGGTTCGAGAGGTAGCCGAAGTTGCGGTTCCTGGACCGGGGCGGCGGGCTCCGTTTCCTGCCAAGACAAGGGCTGGCCTTAGAACGCCGAAAGGACCGGGGGGGGGAGGCGCCCGTAGAAGCAGGGTTGACCCAATTGGGGAGGGGTGTTCAGGGTATTGTGTTTCAAGGGGTCCAAATCTGGGGATAGGAAGGGAGGGGGCTATTCTGCCCTTCTTTGCTTTTGAGGGGGGCTCTCTTTGGAGGGGCCAAAGGAAAAATGCTGCTGCCAACGGAGGCTGGCATTTGGGCGACGCCCTCTGAGGGTGCCCTGCGGTGGGGGCAGCAGTGGAGAGCAGTAAATAGCCATTGGACTAACAGCCCCTCCAGCTCTGCACAGGTTGGCTTTGGTTGCGGGGGGGGGGCTTCCTACAGCTTGAAGGGGTCTTCTACTCTTCTCTCCCCCCCCCGATTCTCCGCCTCCATCTCTCACTGCTGAAGGCAGCGCTCCGCCCTCGTGGGACCGCCCGCCCAAAGAGGAACCCCCTCTCTCGAAAAGACCCAGAGCCTTCGCTCCCCCCTGCGCAGTGCTTCTCCTCCCGCCCTGCCCGGCGTACCTGCGCGGGACGACTCACCTGCGGTTGCACGAGCAGACGATCACGGAGATGACTACGGCCAGCAGGATGGCGCCAGCCGCCACACCCAGCGCAATGTAGAGGGGGAGCCAAACGTCTGGGGGGGGGAGAGAAGGGGCTGGTCAGGAGAGTCGGGCCAAGGGCTTTGCGCTCCATGGAACTGCGTTCACACAATGCGCAAAGTTCAGCTGCTCCGGGCAAGATATATACGGATGAGGCAAAGCCTGGATGATTCTGGGTTGGGGGTGATGTGCAAGCTCAGAGAATAGCTCAGTTTGATCGTCGGGACCCGCTTCCCGGCCCTGCAGGGAGCAGGAGGCTCGCTAAAGGTTGAAGGGGGGGGGGGATATCTTAGTAGGGGCAGCAATCAGCCTTTCCAATAAAGGAGAATATTTGTTCCTCAGGGCTGACAGGAGGGATCCTCCGTGCTCTCTGAGGCCGATGACTGTGGGGTCCTGGGTGCTCTCTGAGCTTGCTTGTTTTCTTGCAGACGTTTCATGACCCAACTAGGGAACATCATCAGGGCTATTAAGAAATTAAGCAAGCCCCATTAAGCGAATCCCATTCCCTTCTAGTTCCCTAATCGGGCCTTGAAACATCTGCAAGAAAAGCACCAGGAGCAAAGAGAACCAAGGATCCCAGTTGGCCTTTCAGCTGTCTTCCGAAAGGCTGGCTGCCTCCTGACGGGTGGGACCCCACAGGAAGCCCAAGGACGGGCTGTGCCCAGACCCCAAGCAGAGCACATCCACCTCAGACGGTGGATCACACATTGTGACCGGCTGCCATCTGAGGGCACGCACAGATCCAGGATCTGCTGGGGGGTTTTTCACTATAAAGGATGCTGCCTTTCAACGGTTAGGTGGCCTAGACTTGAACATATATCTTTTTAATATTCGTATTTTACCGTGTTTTTAATTTAGGTGAAATGCTAATACAGGCAGTCCTCAGCATACGACCGCAATTGAACCCAAAATTTCTGCTGCTAAATGAGGCAGTTGTTAAGTAAGATTTGCCCCATGTTACCACCTTCCTTGGCACAACTTGTTAAGTGAATCGCTGCAGTGGTTAAGTTAGTAAACAGGTTGTTAAGTGGATTTGACCCCCTCCACTGACTTTGCTTGTCAAAAAATCGCAAAAAGGGATCATGTGATCCTCCCGGGACACCGCGACCGTCGCAAACAGGATCCAGTTGCCAAGCACCTGAATTTTGATCACATGGCCAAAAGGGGTCACTTTTTTCAGTCCTGTTGTGTCTTAAAATGGTCACTAAACAAACTGTTGTAAGTTGAGGACAACCTATATATATTGCAAGTCCATATATAGAGTTTCCTTCCTGAGCAGGGGGTTGGACTAGATGACCTCCAAGGTCCCTTCCAACTTTATTATTATTATTATTATAAATGCCCTAAGCAGCACCCTCCCCTTCTATAGGGGGGGCTCCAAGAGAGAGCAGCCCAACTGCTTGAAAATGAGGGGCTGGGGGCTCTCAGCTTGGAACATCAGGTCTGGAGCCCCAAAACAGCCGGAGTGACCCATCCACTGGAACCCTGGATTTGGGAGAGGGGCGCAGAGGAGGGCTCTACCTGTTCGTTCGTTCTCGCAGAGTTTTCCTTGGTATTTCTCCGGACATTCACAGCGGAAGGCTTCGGAGCTGTTGTCCCGCACGCAAGTCCCAGCGTTCAAACAAGGATTTGGCTGGCAGGGGTCGGCTGCAGAGGAAAAAGGGGGTGGGGGTGGGAAATGGGTAGCCTTCCCGGCTGTGCCAGCCCCCCATTCTCAGTCCTGGATGACAACGGCCCCAAGTGGGGATGACTGACAGAGTTCGGGAGGACTCCTTTGAGCCGTGAAGCTCGACTGCTCTGGGCAACGTGTACTGTCGGGGCAAACTCTGATTTATTTTCAGTTTAGGGTCATGAACCAGCCCAGAAAATGGGTTAATTTGATCACTGCCATCTGTTTCCTGGCCCTGGGTGGGGGGAGCAGGAAGCTTGCTAAAGGCTTGGGGGGATTCCTGCCTTAGGGTCAGCATTCAACCCTTTGACCAATCTAGGACAGGGCCGGATGCTTCTTGGATGCCCAACTGCCCCCCCCCAGGAGATCTGAGGGTTGCCTGGAGGCCAAGTTGAAACCTTGTTTTATAGGGTCCGATAAAAGAGAATCACTGTAGGGTCAGGGTTGAAATGAGGTGGGCTTTCAGCTCTCTGAGCTTGGTGGGTCTTCTTGCAGACGTTGCATTACCCAACTCCATAACACCATCAGTGCTGGGAGGGAGGGAGCCCAAAGATGCTTTTCCATGGGGCAACAGGACTTTCCTTTTCCTTTGAAGACATTTCGCTTCTCATCCAAGAAGCTTCCCCAGTTCTAACTGGATGGTGGGGAGGGAAGGAGGTTTGCTTTCACCCCACTCCCTACTACACAGATGATACGGTAATGCAACGTCTGTAGGAAAACCACCAACCTCAGAGAGCATCAGGGACCCCTGATTCACAGAAGCCTGCTCAGTTGCCCCTCCTCTTTGGGGGACACAGGGAGAAGAGCCAGCCCCCCAGGTAGGACTGCTTGAAAATGTGGGTCTGATGGTTCTCTGCCCTGGAGTGATGTCTGGGATCAACCATAGGCCAGGGGACCCAAAGCAGCTTGTGTAACCCATTAATTAAAGCCATGGATGGGGTGCGTGTATGTGTTTATGTGTATGTTTACCTCCTGGTGTGACTTGTATTTCACAGAGTAATCCATCATAATTATCGGGACATTCACAGTGGAAAGTATCTGGGCTGTCATCCCGCACGCAAGTTCCATTGTTGAAACATGAGTTTGGCTGGCAGGGGTCGGCTGCAGAGAGAAAGAGAAGGGGGGGGGGTTGGAAATAAGTAGCCTTCCCGTCTGTGCCAGCCCCCAACCCTCAGTCTGGGATGACCACAGCCACAAGGGGCTGGTGCCTCTTTTGGAAACATAGCCATAGCACGTATATGCTGCTCCATAATGCTTGACCGCCCTCTCTGAGCAGTTTACAGAGTCAGCATTATTTGTCCCCAACCATCCGGGTCCTCCTTTTACTGACCTCGGAAGGATGGAAGGCCGAGTCCACCGTGAGCCCATCAGGGTCAAACTCCTCGCTGTGGGCAGAGTCAGCCTGCAAGGCTGCCCTCTAGCCACTGCCCCACACACAACATGGGTGGGGAGCACCTGCCTGCCCTGCTGAAGCTGAAGGGTTTGCCCCCTCCCCCAGGAACACTCACCACGGAAGCAGCCACGGGTGAGGTTGAAGGTCCTACAGCGATAGTCCTGGGCACATCCTGTCTGGTTGCAGGAGAGGCTGGAACTGTCCAGGCAGACGCAGTCTTGGCTGCAGTCGTCCACCATAAAGCGGTCCCCGACCTGGTCAAGAAGGGGGGGAGCAGGGGATGAACTGGGCCTCCCTGCCGCTTTGCCCCACCCAGCACCTCAAAGCCCTCAGGAGGAAAATGGCCAACACTCCTCAGATTTCCCAACCCATCACGTGGGCAGTGGGGGTGAGAACCCTCTCCTCTGCCCAATTGCAAAGGTTAGGGTCTCCTCTGAGTAAAGGTCTGCTCTGGCTTAAGATCTCGCAGAGGTTTTTCAGAATAACCAGGAGCAGAAATAGTGGCTGGTGTTCCTTTGGGGGCTCGACGTATTTATGGACTGCCTTGCGCGCGTGTCAAAAGCACTGAGGTGCTTTCAGGTTGAAAGGATTAGCCGCGACTTCACCGCTTCCTGGGGGATGCCCATTTGGGGGCTCCTTTCTCGTCCCCGGCAGGAGCTGGAGCAAAGGACAGGAGCTCACCCCGCCCTACGGCAGCTTGTTAGCCTCCAGCCCAGCATCCTAACCACACGAGCCACTCTGCTCCCTGTTTATGGATAATGCGCAAGGAACGTGTGTGCCCGCTGATAGTTTCCAAATCCACGTTTGGATTTTGAATATCCCTAAGCTTAAAAAGAGGCGTTTGCTTCTTTCCTTCCTTAGTTGAGGTGTGGTGCCCGAAGGAGCCCCCCTGGGGGGGGGGCGAGGGAGAAGAGAGAGCCAGTTTACTGGGAAAGGGCCTCGGATGCAGCTGGGGAACCTGGGAATGGGCCCTCAAGCAGGGCGATGGGTGGTGGAGGTGCAAGGGTGGGCCCCATACCTGGTAGTATTTGCCCAAGAAGCTGCAGCCGCAGTCCCGGAAGGGCACGCAGTCGAAGCCGCTGAGGACGTAGCCAGAGTCGCACTCACAGCCCTCCAGGCAGGGGGAGTCGCAGTTGGCAGGGGCCGCCAGGTCCGAGCACGACGGGGGACAGGCCGACATGCAGGGGTTGTAGTGGCTGTGGGGAGAGCACTGGGGAGCTGTGGACAGAGGAGAGAAGCGTTGCATGGCCTGGGCCAGAGCGCAGCTCCCCCTCCCACCCTGGGGAGCCCGAGCCCCTCTCCCCCTGGCCCACCAGGAGGCCACCAGGCAGAGCTGGGGATGTTCGTTGCCCCCCTGGGAGAGTTGGGGCAGGAGGGAAGGGATCCGAGGGCTTCCCTGTCCAAGGAAGGCCCAGGCCAAGAAAAGATAATCTGCTGGCTCTCACCGCAGCCGGTCGCTGCCCTCCAGTTGGCCACCGGGACGTTCTTGCTCTGGCAGGCCAGGGCGTACTGCTCCAGGATGGGGCACAGGCGGGCGGTCCGGTTGTCTTCTCTGCACATGTCGAACAGGCAGCTCCTGCGCGGGAAGAGAAGCAGCAGGCACGTCGCAAGGGGAGGGCAGCCGGCCAGCACTGCCCAGGGAGGGGTCTCTCCAGGGCAGACAAGGAAGTGGGGGGGGTGTTTTTCCAGCATGGGGGGAGGAGGAAGAGGCGAGGTGCAGAAGATGGAGGGAGGGAGGGGCCGCATCCAGACTTGGAAGAGGTGCTGGGATGCCATCCAGAGTCGCAGAAGGGAGGGGCCGTTTCCCAGGGAGCAAAGAGGGAGGCAGGAGGGCCTGGCATCTCCGGTGGGCAGAAAGAGGGCGAAGGGTGGAGAGGGCGAACCGCCTAGCAGTTCACACGGGGTAGAGCCAATGACCTGCTTTAGTCTGGCAAGATTTCTACCTGTGGGCCAGCCAGAAAAAAGAAATTACTCTGAAGGAACTCCTGCCTCCTCAGCCAGCTGGAAAGATTACTTCATCTTTAAGAGGTTGGGGACCAGGACAAAAGAAGAGTGACAGGAAGGGAGGGAGGGAAGGAGCAAAGGAGGGAGAGATGGAAGAAAGGAAGGAAGGAAAAAAGGAAGGAAAGAAGAAAGGAAGGGAAACAGGGAGGGAGGGATGGAGGAAGGAAGGAAGGAAAGAAAGAAAGAAAGAAAGAAAGAAAGAAGGAAGGGATGGAGGGAGGGAAGGAGGAAGACGAAGAGGGAGGGATGGAGGAAGGAAGAAAGGAAGGAAGGGAGGGAAGGAGCGAAGAAGGGAGGAGGAAAAGGAGGGAGGGAAGGAAAGAAGAAAGGAAGGAAGGAAAGAAGAAAGGAAGGAAGGGAGACAGGGAGGGAGGTAGGGACAGAGGAAAGAAGAAAGGAAGGGAGACGGAGGGAGGGAGGAAGGGAGGGAGGGAGGGAGGGAGGAGGAGGGAGGGAGAGAGGAAAGAAGAAAGGAAGGAAGACAGGGAGAGAGAGAGAGGGAGGAAGGATGGGAGGGAGGGAGGGAGGGAGGGAGGGAGATTTTGAAGCCGAGATCTGGATATTGCTCCCTTGGGGAGGGGGCACATGGGGCTGCTGCTCCTCTCCAGCCCATAAACGGGCAGATGCAGCACCTTCCCCCCGAAACCTCCCGGCCCCACGGGGGACGCGGTGGGGTGGGAGAAGAAAGCGGCACTCACTGTAGGAAGGAGTTGGGGGGCTCGTGGGCCCAGCACCCTGGGAAGGGGCCCCTGGGGTCCAGCAGGACGCCACAGACGGAGCTGCTGTTGAACACCTTCAGGGCCTCCTCGGAGCACAGGGGGGAAAATCCCACATCCAGCTCAGCATCCTCCAGGGCTTCTTCCGAAACAAGGTCTCGCCTGGAAGGGAAAAGGGGTTGGAGGGAAAGAGATTCCGGCACCTTTGACCCTCCATCTGAGGACATGGGCAGCTTCAGAGTGGCCAAGCCCGGCTGGACCGTCCTGGGGATTGTCCTTCCCCGTCCGTTGCTGGGTCCAGAAGCAGCCAGAAAGCGCCGGGGGCTGCTTTGGGCGGCAGAGGTTCTGGCTGCCCAGCTACACTCATCGGGGGGGGGGGAGGAGAATTTGGCCAGAACGGGGGAGACCTGCAATGGATGGCCAGAGACGGGAGGGTGTGTGGTGCCCAGAGGGCTGGCCGATATGGAGTGCGCCAGAAGCACGGAGTGGATGGGGGCTGAGTCACCCAAGGGTCCTTGGGCTGCCCAGCTTCAGCAAGTAAACAGGGCGAGGGAGGTGGCCACAGAGGAGGGGGTGGGCTTTGACCCACAAAGTGGCCGAGTCCAGCTTTAGCACCCTTGAAAGAAGAGCCCAGCACCCCGGGGAGATGGGAGGTTCCCATTGACTGGATGAGTCCAAGCAGAGGCTGGACAGCATCAGCCAGGAATGCTGGCACTTGGTTTCCTGCTTACAGCAGGGGGGGTCAGACTAGATGACCCCTAGTACCTTCCTAAGTGGATTCTAGGATTCCACTGCAGGACCGAGAGAAGCGTGTGGCTCCATTTCCACACATCACCAACACGGGTTAATCTTGTAACCAGGCTGAGGTGACCGTCAAATCACAGCGCCTGGGATCCCTGGCAGTTTCAGGGTGGGGGTGGGGGTGGGAGGGGGCTGCGCTGATCCTGCGGAGGGCTCAGCCTGCTCTATAGGAGGCGCCTCTGCTGCTCCTGCTGCTGCTTTCAGGAGCTCCTACCTGAGGCGGAAGGAGGCTCTCTTGACGGGCACTCGCCAGCTCTGCCCGAAGGTGTTCACGTCTTTGACCAGGGTGCCGTCTGGCTTGGCAAAGTCATTCCTGTACCTCCCATCAAAGTTGCCACAGAGGCCTTCGACGTTCCTTTTGTAGCTGTTGGGCAGCAGGATGCCTGGCGGGGGGAAGAATAGCAGAATAACAGAGTTGGGACCTCAGAGATCTTCTAGTCCAACCCCCTGCTCAAGCAGGAGACCCTATCCCAGGGGTAGGCAACCTTGGCTCTTTTATGATTGGTGGACTTCAACTCCCAGAATTCCTGAGCCAGCCATGCTGAGGGGAAAGGGAGAGGTTTCCAAGCTGAGCCATGCTGGCTGAGGAATTCTGGGAGTTGAAGTCCACCAGTCATAAAAGAGCCAAGGTTGCCTACCCCTGACCAATCCTATCCCAGATAAATGGCTGTCCAGTCTACTTTGAAAAGCTCCAGTGATGGACCACCCACAACTTCCGGTGGCAAGCTGTTCCACTGATTGTTCTGACTGTCAGGAAAGTTCCCCTGATTTCCAGGTTGCTTCTCTCCTTGATTCGTTTCCATCTGTTGCTTCTTGTCCTGCCTTCTGCCGCTTTGGAGAATAAGTCGACCCCCCCTTCCTCTTTGGGGCAGCCCCTCAAATATTGGAAGATGCTATCCTGTCACCCCTGGTCTTTCTTTTCTTTAGACTAGACATACCCAGTGATGGGATTCAGCCGGTTCGCACCAGTTCGGCAGAACCGGGAACTAATTTTTTGTTGCCCAGGCCCAGGACGGACTTACGGAAGCGGCCTCCACACAGAGAACCCGCTTGTTCACCTACTTGAATCCCACCACTGGACATACCCAATTCTTGCAGCCGTTCTTCTTGGGGTTTAATCTTAAAGTCACGCTGCAGTGGGACCCCAAGTTCCCGGGCCAATCCAGCTGGTCCCCCCCCCCTTAGTGCAGAACTGATTTCCTGCAAGCCTGGGTAGGCCTGGAGGGTCCTCAGCCTGCGCCCTCCTCTCCTTGGGGGGCTTCCCTCTCCCCCCTGCCACGCCAGCCCCCCCCCCCCGGCTGGTGCAGCTGCTTCACCTGAATTCTCCGAGCCATCAAAGGCGACCGAGAGGCCAAAATCGGATTGTAGGAAAATCTGCCTTCCGCTCTGCTGGATGCGAAGCCCCTCGTGAGGCCGCGCTGGGGGCACTGTTGCCACTCCGTCCACCTGGGGGGGGGGGGAAGAGTTTGCAGCATGGTCCCGGTTCTCCAAAGGCAGCATTAGGGCTCAGCAACCGTCATAGGTACACGCCAGTTGCCGAGCATCCCAATTTTGATCATGTGACCACAGGGATGCTGCAACGGTCGTAAGTGTGAAAAACGGTCTTAAGTCATTTTTTCCAGTACTGTTATAACTTTGAAGGGTCACTAAACGAATGTCAGTAAGTCGAGGACTATCTGTATTCCTCCATTTATGCCAGTGGGGAGGGGGGGCTGTTCTGGGGGTCCTCTGGGAATTTGCCGTAAAAAGTGGCCTTTTCACAGCGGGAGAAGTCAGCTGCCTCGTGAGCCAAGAGGCCTCCTTTGCGAGCCCACCGTGTCAGCCCCACCTCCCACCCCTCGGCACTCACCAGGCTGGGTCAGGCGGCCCGGCAGAGCCGAAGCTGCTGAGGGGGCTTCAAGGACCACCTGGGCAGCCTCGCCAGGGCAGAACTGCCCTTGTGGAGGTGGCAAGAAGCCCCTGAGCTCAGGGTGGGTGTGGGGCCGCCCTGCCCAGGGGCCCGGGGGAGTCCTTACCACCAGCTTCTTCCTCTGCTTGAAGAGCACCGTGTGGTTGTAGACGCGGATCAGCAGCTCCTTCAGCACGGAGGGCTGCCCGACGCCCACCACTGCCCGGTTGGTCCCTTCGATGCTGAAGGGCTCCAGGCGCTCGGAGGCGTCGGGGATGGTCTGCGAGAGCACGTAGGTGCGCAGCCCTTGGAAGTGGTGCAGCAGGCCGTCGAAGGTCATGTAGTGGGGGTCTCCCGTGATCAGGCAGTTGCCAAATCCTGGGGGAGGAGGGTAGGTGAGATCATCTAGCAGCTCCTGCACCATGCCAGTCCCAGTCTCCAAAGTGAGGGTTCCTTAATGGGACCAATTTGGCCAGTGGCTTCTTTTTTCTAGCAGCTACTCAGCTAGAAGCATCCACCCGTCCTGGGCTGGTCTTGGACTCCAGGGACTCTGTGGGGTTGATGGGGCTGGGCCGAAGGCTCTCCCCATGGCTGTCTCCTGGATCACGCCGGGGTTGAGGGGTCCTTGGGGCTCTCTGAGCCTGGCTGTTTTCTGGCAGATGTTTCATGATCCAAACTAGGTTTGTAGAGAGGAGGGATGGAGGAGGAGGAGTGGAGGAAGAGGAGGAGGAAGGAGAGGAGGGAGAGGAGGGAGAGGAGGAAGAGGAGGAGGAGGAGGAGGAGGAGGAAGGATTGGTTGCTCTCTGGGCTTGGTTGTTTTCTTGCAGACGTTTCATGACCCAACTAGGAAACATAATGCTAGAAGGGAGTGAGAGTTGAGGAGGAGGAGAAGGAGGAGGAGGAGGAATAAGGACTGTGGGGCCCTTGGTGTTCTCTGGGCTTGGTTGTTTAATAATAATAATAATAATAATAATAATAATAATAATAATAATAATAATAAAGTTGGAAGGGACCTTGGAGGTCATCTAGTCCAACCCCCTGCTCAGGCAGGAAGCCCTATACCATTTCGGACAAAGGGCTGTCCAGTCTCTTCTTAAAAACCTCCAGTGTTGGAGTATTCACCGCTTCTGGAGGCAAGGAGTTCCACTGGTTAATTGTTCTCACTGTCAGGAAGTTTCTCCTTAGTTCTAGGTGGCTTCTCTCCTTGATGAGTTTCCATCCATTGCTTTTTGTCCCGCCTGAAGGCAGGACAAGAAGCAACAGATGGAAACTTTCTTTTCTTGCGGACTTTTCATGACCCAACCAGGTAACATCATCAGTGCTAGTAACTGCAAAACCACCCAGCTCAGAGAGCGCCAAGGACCCCTCATTTCAACCCTGAGCTACTAATATTCTTCCTTATGGGCCTGCCTCAGTTCCCCCCAGTTGAAGCACCAGAGGCTGGGGGAGGGGCAGGAGTTACACACTCCGGGACAGCTGCCCTTTTCAGACTGGGCTACCTCAAGGGGGGGAGGGTCCTTCTCCCCAAAGCCCCTCTTTCCCTTCCCCACAGCTAGCATCCCTAGCGCTAAGCCTCACCTGTGGGTTTGCAGTGCAACTTCCCGTCTTTCCTGGTGTCGCAAACCTCCCCGGGGTCACAGCCGAAGTCCTGGCACCGGATAGTGCCTCCACGGCGGCAGCGGCACTTCTGGCTGCAGTGGGGGGTGAGCCAGCTCTCCCCGATCTGCCAAAATGAGCGTAGCGTGGGGGTTAGTGAAGGGCCACAGCCACAGGCCACGAGGGGGGTCTCCTTCCGCAGCCTCGGGGGGCTGCTGTGCACCATCGTGGCTCGCCCACCCCAAGGCCGGGCCACCAGGGGCAGAGATCATGGGGCTACTTTGCCATGGATGGGGCTCTGCCCCCCTGCAGGCGGGAGGGACCCCCACTCACTTTGTGGTACCGGCCGTCCTTGTCCTGGCAACCGCACTGGCTGAGGGGCACACACTGGTCATCGCTCAGCACAAAGCCCTCGTTGCAGACACAGCCTTCCAGGCAGCCCCCTGGGGGCTTCTCACACAGCTCCCCGGCGTAGATGTTGCTGCAGGTGGGCGGGCAGGGGGGGGCGCAGGGGGCGTAGAAGCTGTTGGGTGGGCAGGGCAGCGCTGGGAGGGAGGAGGGAGGGAAAGAGAGCAGCTTCAGCCACAGGGTTCCAGCCCCTTACTGATTATTATTTACGAAATTTATTTGCTGCCCATCTCATTTCAAACCTTACAACACAAAAAACATTAAAATCAACAAATATAAGCATACCCCAATAAGGCAGTCCTCGACGTACGACCACAATTAATAATCAGAAGAGAGCTGGAAGGGACCTTGGAGGTCTTCTAGACCAACCCCCTGTTGAAGTAGGAGACCCTCTACCATTCCAGACAAGTGGCTGTCCGGTCTCCTCTTAAAAACCTCCAGGGATGATTGAGCCTCAACGGTCTGCTAAACGAGACCGTTGCTAAATGAATTTTCCTCCATTTTGCGACTTTTCCTGCTACGGTTGTTAAGCAAATCACTGCGGTTGTTAAGTTGGGAACATGGCCACTAAGTGAAACTGGCTCCCCCATTGACTTTGCCGGTCAGAAGGTCGCAAGCGGGGATCACGGGACCCCTGGGGACACTGCAACCGTCATAAATGTGAGTCGGTTGCCAAGGATCTGAATTTCATGGTTGGGTGAAAAAAGGGTCCTAAGTCACTTTTTTCAGTGCCATTGTAACGTCGAACAGTCGCTAAATAAACTGTTGTAAATTGAGGACAACCTCTATAAACAGAACAAAATCATTGACCGGTGGAGATGGAGAAGGAGGCAGCCAAATGCATCCAGGTGGGGGTGGGGGGAGAGGTGGGGTTAACTTTTACTTAATCCATTACCTCCAGAATGAAGCCCCCTCCCCACTGGCCCCCCAGGCCCTCTGGTAGAACTAGGTCTAAAGACCCTTGCAAAAAATCAGATGGGTAGGAGCCCATCTCCCCTCAGAGGGCCAGATATTCCCAAAGCAGGAGCCACAGCAGAGAAGGCCCTTCTCCTGGACCCCCCCCAGGTGAAATTCCCTGGTCAAGGGGTCAGCAGAATGCCTCCCCTGCCAACGTGTGTGTGGGGGGGCAGGGGGTGATGATGCTGGGTCTAGGAGACAACCAGCTGGGGAAGGACACTCGCCAGGACGGAGGTCTTGTTGCCGGCTGTTACACAGGGCAATCCTCTGCCCACGTTTCCTCTTCCACGTCACTGCTTCCTCCCCCCCACCCCGATCTGCTTCCCGGGATGCTTACGGCAGAAGGTGGTGTTCCTCCACTGGATGGGGACCCCCTTGGCCTGGCAGGCGTCCGCATAGGCTTGCACCACGGCGCACAGAGTGGCACGCATCCCGTCGTACTTGCACATGTCGTAGACGCAGGTCTGGACGAAGAGGTCTGGCTGTACCAGGGGGTGGCAGGGCACGAAGACACCGGAGTGCAGAACCTGGCACTGCTTTTCCACTGAGGACAGGTCGCCAGGGGTGCAGGGCGGACCCAGCTCTGGGCGTGTGTCTGGCAGGCAGCTGTGAGGAAGGCAGGCATGGGGGATTGGCTACAGAGCCAGACACGAAGTGGGTCCAGGCGCCTCTGGAGCTCAAGGGAAAGGGGGGCACTCCCAACCTGGCAGCCCCAAATGTTTTACAACCGGGTTACCATTGTATTGTGAACTGATTTGGAGTCAGTGGCCACTGAGGTAGAACTGAAGGAAGGGAGGAGTGATAGCAAGGAGGGGAACACACACCTGGAGTCTTCATAATCGTCCACCTTCCAGCTGTTCCCGAACTGAGTGACGTTCTTGGCCTGGGATCCATTGGGCATCAGCAGCTCATCTTCCTTTTGGCCGTTGTAGTTCCCACAGAGGCCACGCACCTGAAAACAGGAGGGAGGTTTACACGTGTCCAGTTGCCTTTTGGAAAAAGCACCTACTAGATACTACTAGATGTGGACCAGGGTTAAACCCGTCTACAGAGGACCAAGGAACTCTTAGCTGTGATAGCTCAATGGAATTCCTTTATCAGAAGCAGATGGTCTCTGATAATCATCTGATGCAGTGTTTCCCAAACTTGACAATTTTAAGGCATGTGGACTTCAACTCCCAGAATTCCACAGCCAGCGTTGCTGGCTGTGGAATTCTGGGAGTTGAAGTCTTCATGCCTTAAAATTGTCAAGTTTGGGGAACACTGATCTGATGGAAAGTGACCCTCCAGGATTGGGCAACTGACTCGAATCTTATTTGGGAAATTCCTAGAAGTTCTTGACTAGCTGTTCCTGGATCCAGGATGCTGGGTTCAGATGATCTTGGGTGTAACTCAGAGGCCCACAGGTGTGTTAGCAAAACCTCCAACCATTAATGAGCAGAGGTCAGAGCCGTAGAGCTGTGGATGAGGGAACCAGCAGAGGCCTTTGCTCTCAAGAGACAAAGTTTGGTGCTAACCCAACGTTTCAGCCTCCACCTGGCTCCCCTTTCACCTGAGACTCACCTGAGAGAAGTAGGAGCTTGGCAAGCTGATCTCCAAGTACTGATTCCCATCATATTTCACCGTCAGCCCAAAGTCAGTTTCCACCACCATGTAATTGCCGACATTCGACACGGTCACCGAGTTTCGTTGGGAGCGGCTTTCCACTGGTGTGTAGGCCCTCATCTTGTTGAGCTATGAAAGACAGTTTGAGTCAGCACCGGGATTGAAATAGCAGGCATACGTAGCCAGGAAACCTGCTTCCCTACTGGGAGAGCCACGGATCTACAGATAGTCCTTGACTTGCAACAGTTTGTTTAGAGACCAAACTTACAACGGCACTGAAAAAAGTGACGTATGACCATTTTCACACTTACAATCAGTGGTGGGACTCAGCCGGTAGCTAATTTTTTGTTGACTTTGGCAAACCGGCTGATGCCCTAGCCTTTTTTCACAAGGCCCAGAACGATCCAGTGGAAGTGCGTGGATGCCACTTCCGGAAGTCCATTCTGGGCCTCGAAGGCCCAGGCCCAGAACAGACTTCCGGAAGCGGCATCCACACAGAGAACCGGTTGTTCAGATATTTGAATCCCACCACAGCTTACAACTGTTGCAACATCCTAACTCCCAGAATTCCTCAGCCTTAACCCTAAACTGAACCTCAGTCAAAAGTAACTGGTCAATGACAAGCTTAGAAAATCTGAAGCCACCCCGGTCCCCTTCGTACCAGAATCTTCTTGTCTTTCTGGAGTGTGATCCGTAGGTCGTACACATCCACATGGACCTCCCGGAGGTAGGTGGCTCCTGGCAAGCCCCTGTCTTCATTTTTCCCAGTGATGTTGAAGGGGGTGACAGTGCAGAGGTTCTTGGTATCACAAGCAGCGACCAGGGTATACAGGCAGGTACCCAGGAAGGTGTGCATCACTTTGTCAAAGGTGTAATAATGGGGATCACCCACCACGTGACACGAGGCTCGGCCTGCAAGATGTAAGGAGGCTTTGATAAGGGGGCATATTTTCATGTTTTTTTGGCAATCAATTAGGAGCCAGCCCTGTGTGCCGCTATCAAAAAAAATCAACACAATCCTGGGCTGCATGAACACAGAGGGAGAGGATCAAAATGGCGTGAAGGGTTAATATGACTTTATAATGCCTTGGTAAGACCACACTTGGAATACGGCATCCAGTTGTGGTCACCATGATATTGAAAAAGATGCTGAGACTCTGGAAAGACTGCAGAGAAGAGCAGCAAAGATAATTAGGAGACTGGAGCATAAAACATACGAAGAACGGCTGCAGGACTTGGGTTTGGCTAGTCTAAAGAAAAGAAGAAATAGGGGAGACATGATAGCAGTATTCCAGTATTAGAGGGGTTCCCACAAGGAAGAGGGGACCAGGTTGTTCACCAGAGCACCAGAGGGCAGGACGAGAAACAATGGTTGGAAACTAATCAAGAAGAGAAGCAACCTAGAACTAAGGAGAAATTTCCTGACAGTGAGGACAATCAACCAGTGGAACAGCTTACCCCCAGAAATCGTGGGTGCTTCATCACTGGAGATTTTAAAGAAAGGACTAGACTGTCTGAGATGGTATAGGTTCTCCTGCTTGAGCAGGGAGCTGGACTAGAAGACCTCCAAGGTCCCTTCCAGCTCTATTCTATTCTATTCTATTCTATTCTATTCTATTCTATTCTATTCTATTCTATTCTATTCTATTCTATTCTATTCTATTTTCTATTCTATTCTATTCAAAAAGCGGGGGGGGGGTGGTGGTGGTGGTGTTCCACCTAGTCTCTATAGCACTGGAAGGCAGTATAAGAAGTAATGATTGGAAGCCAATCAAGGAAAAAAGTAACCTAGAACTAAGAAGTTTCCTAACAGTGAGGACAATCAATCAGTGGAACAGCTTCCCTCCAGAATTTGTGGGTGCTCCATCACTGGAGGGTTTTAAGAAGAGATGGACAGAATGGTATAGGGCCCCCTGCTTGAGCAAGGGGTTGGACTAGAAGACCTCCAAAGTCCCTTCCAATTCAATTGTCTTTGTTATTCTGTTATTCAATTCATCTCTTTTGTTTTCCCCTCTCAATATACCAAGTCTGTCTGATGTGGTCAGGACCAAACCACTCCTTCCTTTGCCTTTCTAAGGAATTTCTTTAGTGATAGATTTTATCTTCCTGGGCTCCAAGATCACCGCAGATGGGGTCTGCAGCCAAGAAATCAAAAGATGCTTGCTCCTGGGGAGGAAAGCCATGGCAAATCTAGACAGCATACTAAAAAGCAGAGACATCACCCTGCCAACAAAAGTGCGTGTAGTCAAGGCCATGGTTTTCCCAGTTGCAATGTATGGCTGTGAAAGTTGGACCATAAGAAAGGCTGAGCGCCCAAAGAATGGAGACCTTTGAACTCTGGTGTTGGAGAAGACTCCTGCGAGTCCCTTGGACTGCAAGGCGATCCAACCGGTCAGTCCTGGAGGAGATCAACCCTGACTGCTCTTTAGAAGGCCAGATCCTGAAGTCGAAATTCAAATACTTTGGCCACCTAATGAGAAGGAAGGACTCCCTGGAGAAGAGCCTGATGCTGGGAAAGATGGAGGGCAGTAGAAGAAGGGGACGACAGAGAATGAGATGGCTGGATGGAGTCCCTGAAGCAGTAGGTGTGAGCTTCAATGGACTCCAGAAGATGGTAGAGGACAGGAAGGCCTGGAGGAAAGCTGTCCATGGGGTCACAATGGGTCGGACACGACTTTGCAACTAACAGCAGCAACAAAAGAATTGCTTTGTTGTATTAGAAGACCTCCTCGTTGCCCTTGAAATGCCAGGCAAGTTGATTTTGCCAGCCGTTCTGTCAATTCTCCATCCTTCATCCCATCATGCTGACCACCCCTGAACTTACCTTTGGTGTAGCAACCCAGCACTCCATCCTGAACAGCACAATTCTCCTGCACACCACATTGCCACAAGGTGCAGTTGATTTCATTGTTGGGCCTGCAGGTGCATCGTTCTTTGCAGGACTCATCGACGAACCAGGTCTCCCCCAGCTGCCGAGAAGAAGAGGAGAAAACCTTGGGTTAGAAAGTCACCGAGGCCCTGTGGTTTCTCCTGCAAAAAAGTGGCCTTTCCTTCATCCCTTCTAGGGGATGCTGATGGCTGCAGCCCAGCCCCTCCTCCGCCCTCCGATCTCTGCTGGCTTTCCTCCTCCACTGGATTCCATCTTGGATCGCCTGTGCCCTGGCTCCTGTGTTGCATATCGCATTTTTGAAGATTGGTTCTGAAAAGGCAGCTCTGTGCTTTAGCTTCCCCTCAAGCACAAAGCCCAGAAGCGGTTTCCAGGTAGAAACAACGTTGTGTTCTTTTCTTTAATCAAAGCAGTCAATTTATCCCTCTCTGCTGACTCCATCAGCTTTTGCAGCCCTTCGTCCGTGGTGGGAATCAAAGCATTCTTCCATTTTTGTGCGCAGAGTGTTCTTGCTACTGTATAACAGGGGTCTTCCAATTTGGCCCTTTTATGACTGGTGGACTTCAACTCCCAGAATTCCTCAGCCAGGAGGATGTCCAGTCTCTTCTTAACAACCTCCAGTATTGGAGCATTCACAACTTCTGGAGGCAGGTTGTTCCACTGGTTAATGGTTCTCACTGTCAGGAAGTTTCTCCTTAGTTCTAGGTTGCTTCTCTCCTTGATTAGTTTCCATCTGTTGCTTCTTGTCCTGCCTTCTGGCACTTTGGAGAATAGCTTGACTCCCTCTTCTTTGTGGAAGCCCTACAAATACTGGAATACCGCTATCACGTCCCCCCAGTCCTTCTTTTCTCTAGACTGGCTGTATCCAAGTCCTGCAACTGTTCTTCGTATGTTTTTGTCTCCAGGCCTTTAATCACCTTAGTTGCTCTTCTTTGCACTTTTTCCAAAGTCTCAGCATTTTTTTTTGTAATGTGGTGACCAAAGCTGGATGCCTTATTCCAGCTGTAGCCTTACTAAGGTTGTATCAAGCGGTACTAATACTTCACCTGGTGTAGAGTACAGTATATATACAAACAGAGCACGGTCCCTTTGTTGAGAAGGTCTGCAGCACAGAAGCAGGTGCTGAGGAAGCCAGGCCAGATCGTGTCCTCCCAGCCTCCCACTGCGGAGGAGAAACACCCACCTGGTAGTAGTTGTCCTGGTCATCCACACAGCCGCAGTCGCTCTCCGGGACACACATGTCTCCACTCAGGACAAACCCTTCGTTGCAGAAGCACCCTTCCACAGGGAGGGGGCTGCACAGGGCGAGCCCTCCTGGTTTAATACAGCTGGAAGGGCAGGAAGTCCCACAGCTGCTGTAGTGGCTGTTGACAGAGCAGGAGATGGCTAGAAGGGAAAGAGACATCGTCAGTCACAGGAGAGGTCTCTCTCACACCAACACAACCTTTCACACAAGTCCACCTCAACTCCAATCAAGGTGGCCAAGTGGTTGAGGAGGGTCTAGAGAGGGGGCCCAGTTGCCTGTTGCCCAGGCTGCAGAGAGGAGAAAGGAGGAGGAAAAGGGAGAAGAAAAAGAAGAAGAAGAAGAAGGAGAAGGAGAAGGAGAAGGAGAAGGAGAAGAAGAAGAAGAAGAAGAAGAAGAAGAAGAAGAAGAAGAAGAAGAAGAAGAAGAAGAAGAAGAAGAAGAAGAAGGAAAAAGGAAGAAGAAGAAGAATGAAAAAGGAAGAAGAAGAATGGAGACAGTGGGGAAAAGGAGAAGATGATCAGGAAAAGACAAAGAGGAGGAAGGACAGCCAGGAGGAGCAGAGAAGCACCCTGGAGGCACCCAGAGGGAAATGGACAGCCAAGAGCAGCTTCATCCAGCCAGAGGGGATAAGAGGGGAGAGGCTGGGCCATTCGACATTACGGGGTGCCCCAAGACTCGGTGCTTCTCTTCCGCAGCTCACATGAAGCCATTGGGGGAGATTGTCCCCCAGTTGAAAATGGGCTCAACACATGGCTGACACCTGGGGGCAAGGGCAAGGGTCATGTGCCAGAAGTCCTGCCCAGTCCCTGGAGGGAGGCTGCGAGGGTCCGGATGGAGACCCAGACTCAGCCCAGGCAAGGTGGCTGCCACTTCAGAAGCCTCCTGATTCCAGGACAAGATCAAGTTTGTGTCTGGGGGGGGGGGCGGCGGGATTGAGCCCTACAACTGGGGGTGGTGATGGGGCGCTTTTCTGCACTCAAAACTCCTGCTTGTTTTCCAGGCTTATCTTTTGTTCATCATTCAAAATCCTACATTATTTATAATACAACATATATATAAATAAATTAGCCACCCACAGGGTATGAGGGAGAGAGGGAGGGAGGAAGGAAGGAAAGAAAGAAAGAGAGGATATGAATGAAGGGAAAGAGGAAGGAAGGAAGGAAGGAAGGAAGGAAGGAAGGAAGGAAGGAAGGAAAGAAGCAAGGAGAGGACATGAAAGGAGGGAGGGAGCAAAGGAAGGAAGGGACATGGAAGAAGGGAGGGAGGAAGGAAGGAAGGGAAGGAGAGAAGGGAATGAGAAGAAGGGAGGAAAGAAGGAAGGAAGGAAGGAGAGAAGGGAATGAGAAGGGAGGAAGGAAGGAGGCTTATTCTTTTAGCTGCCTCACTCGCAGCCCCCTGGGTGTCCAGATCTGGTCCTCTGGTTCTCCTGTGCTGGTCCCAGACCTCCTCGGACGCCCCCCTGCTGAGGGTCCCCACCCCCCCAGCCCCAAGCGCAGCACTTACGACAGAGGGTGGAGTTCCGCCATTCCACACACACCCCAGCATTGGAGCAGGAGGCAGCGTAGGCTTGCAGCCCGTGGCACACGGAGGTCTGCTGTCCTTGAGTGAGGCACACGTCATAAACGCAATTCTCCAGGAAATGGGTGGGGTCCACCACAGCATGGCACTGCCCGAAGGGGCCTGTGCAAAAGAGGAAGGAGTCTCAGCATGGCTAGAGGCCCTCGGAGGTGTGTGTGTGGGGGATCCCTTCTGCTGAACGGACAAACGCAGGTCCCAAGGGGTCCCTCTGGAGAAAGCTTGATGCTTGGCAAGCAGACATGGGGGGGTCTTCCCAGTCAAAGCCCCTCACGTGTGCATTTGTCTCAGCCTGGACTCCGATCAAACTGGGGGTATCCCAAATTGCAAAGCTTCTGCCCCGATCATTACCCATAGAGGCAAAGGGTATATGCTTAGTATGTTGCATGGGAAATAAAACACATCTCCGCCCCCCGTGCCTTACACGCCCAGCTTGCACTTTCGAGTGCAGTGTGAGCTCACAACCAGAGAGAAGTAGATCCGCTTTGGAGCCGTTCTGCCCCACCGCAGACAAAGAGCTTTACCTGTTGGATCTGCGATCAGGCGGCAAGCAGAATTCCTCCGAATTTCCTCCTCCAGCTTTGGGTCACATAACTCTGATGGGCCGGAACATCTGCCAAAGGCCAGAGGGGGAATATGGCTCAGGACAGTCCCATTAGGGTCTCCTCTGGCTTCCAACCATCCTTACTAGGAGGGAGGGAGACTGAGTATGCCGCCCCCCATGAAAGGTGATAGGATGGGGAGCGCCATTCAACATCTGGAGGGGCCAGCCGAGTGAAGGTCCCTCAGCTGGAAATCTATTGGGCTTAAGGTTAGGGGTGAGGTTAGGAAGAAAGTGTGGGGGAGGTGTTGTTTGTAAAATAATAAAGGCAGGGAATAAACGAACAAACAATAAAGGAGAATACTCGTAGCTCAGAGTTGAAATGGGGGATCCTCGGTGCTCTCTGAGCTGGGTGGCTTTCTTGCCAACGTTTCATGACCCAACTAGGCGTCATCAGTGCTAGAAAGGAGTAGGGTTTGTGGAGAGGAAGATCAGGAGGAGCAGGAGGAGGAGGAGCAGCAGCAGGAGGAAGATGATAGGGTGACCTTAGTGGTTTTCTTGCAGATATTTCAAACTAGGTAACATCCTCAGTGCAAGCTCAATGCATCATCATCATCATCACCACCATCATCATCAGTGCAACCAAGCTCAGAGAACACCAAGGACCCCTCGGAACCCTTTGAATATGAGGAGCACCATCTACAAGGAAGGCACTTGTAGCTCACCGGAGCTCTTTGTGCCATTCCCTCCACAAAATGTGCCTCAGTGTGATGGAATATAGTCTGGATTCCCCGGAGGGAGGCAGGGAGGGGCTGCATTCCAGAGGAGCAAAGACAGCTCCGTTCAGAGAGTTTGTGTGGGAGAAAGAGGGTGAAGACGGCTCCTCCCTAATAGTTCCCAGAGTCTTTGCTTTATCTGGGTGGTAGCCTGCTTTAGTTTGGCAAGATTCTGTCTATGGGTGAGGAGTGATAAAGAAATCTACTTGGAAGAACCACAACGTGTCTTTCTTGATTTCTGGAGCCTGTCCCTCAGCTAAGTGTCCGCCAAGGGAACCTACATGCTACTGTTGTCTGAGACAAGCCAACTGTTTCCGAGCTGAGTTGAGTCTCCTGCAGGTAGTCCATCCGGCTTTAGATTGTCATCTTCTGGATTCCCATTGAAATTACCTTTAAGGGGTGGGAAAGAGGAAAGAAAATTATCTCTAGGCCCACATTTCTTTATCTCATCAACATTTAACATTCTGTTTGAAAGGGATGACCCCACCTTCACCCCGTCAGCAAAGAGCTGCAGGACCAGAAACCGAAACTCATCAAGGAGAGAAGCAACCTAGAACTCAGGAGAAATGTCCTGACAGTGGGAATAATTAACCCTTGGGATGAGTTACTCCCAGAAGTTGTGGGTGCTCCACAAATGGAGGTTTTTAAGAAGAGATTGGACAGCCATTTGTCTGAAATGGCATAGGGCAGGGGTAGGCAACCTTGGCTCTTTTATGACTCGTGGACTTCAACTCCCAGAATTCCTGAGCCACCCTGGCTCAGCTTGGAAGCCTCTCCCTTTTCCCTCAGCATGGCTGGCTCAGGAATTCTGGGAGTTGAAGTCCACGAGTCATAAAAGAGCCAGGGTTGCCTACCCCTGGCATAGGGTCTCCTGCCTGAGCAGAGGGTTGGACTAGAAGACCTCCAACTCTATTATTCTATTATCCTGACCACCAATCTTTGCTCCTGCTCCTCCATAGAGGAGGTTCTCAGCCTTCCAGGTCATTATTGTTCCAAAGATGCATTTTCAAGAGGCAGCTGGACTTTCTGGTTTTTCCCTGAAGATGCTTCGCTTCTCATCCAAGAAGCTTCTTCAGCTCTGACTGAATGGTGAGGGAACGGGAGGATTTATACTCCTTGAAGAATTTATACTCCTTCCCTTCCCCACCATCCAGTCAGAGCTGAAGAAGCTTCTTGGGTGAGAAGTGAAATGCCCTCAAAGAAAAACAAAGGAAGTTCGGTTGCCTCTTGAATAAGCACCTTTGGGGTTTTTGCTCCTGCTGATTCCATCTCCCATCCTCCTTCAAGAGTTGCCCACTCCTGCCCAGGGGAAGGTCCCACGTCTCACCACACAGCCCGCAGAGCAGTCCCTGGTATTTGGGTGGCACGGCCACTTCCGCAAACTGGTTCCCATCAAAGCGGACGCTCAGGCCAAAGTTTGTTTTCAAGATCACGTAGCTGCCACTCAACCGCACCACAATCTTGTTGCCTCCGATATATACCGGCAGGTTTCTCCGAGTGCCGTTGACCTGGGGGAAGATTTCCAAGAAGTTTATCGTGTCCTGCCACCCTCAACAAGGCAAGTCAAGGAAACATTCCTGCTGCTTTCCTCCACGTGGGAACGAGCGCTGAAGGAAGCTGCATGGACCTGGCTTCTTTCCCTAAGAGCCGGGGGGCCTTCCCAGGACATGGCTGGGTCTTCCCTACCCCCTGTGCCCCCCGTGCTCAGGCCAGCTCCAAGCAAGCACGGGCTCTGGAGAACTTGATGGAGATTATTTTGTCAGCATTATGTTCTAAGGATTAGTTAGGCCAGGGCTGGGCAACCTTGGCTCTTTTAAGACTCATGGACTTCAACTCCCAGAATTCCTGAGCCAGCCTGGCTCAGCTTGGAAACCTCCCCCTTTCCCCTCAGCCTGGCTGGCTCAGGAATTCTGGGAATTGGAGTCCATGAGTCATAAAAGAGCCAAGGTTGCCTATCCCTGAGTTAGGCCAAAGAACTTTCTTTGCCCAACCTGACCGCCAGGTATACTGTGCCTCTCTGTGGGAGGAAGGTTAAAGACCACCTTGCTTTACTTAGGCGCCTTACAAAATACATACAAGTATAGAAATACGAATGCATCCTTTTACCACTATGAGTCTTTCTCATTATTTTCTGGAAGGAATTTCTCCAGAGCTCCGCTGAGTAAATAATTACTACAGTCAGCCTGAATGATTGGTTCTGGGGTCCTGCGTTGGATCCCACAGATGCGCTCAGACTTTCTGCTGCCCTCAGAAGGTGGGCCTCCTTACGTTGACTTTCCTGTTCTTCAGCAAGGACACCTGGTTCCCGTACACTGCCACATGGACTGAGTTGACGTAAGACACAGCCAGATTGGAGCCCCGGTGCTCGTTGGTGGTGGACACGTCAAAGGCCTCCAGATCACGGGTGGAGTTGGTGCAGACTTTGGCCAAGGTGTAGGTACAGTTGCCCATGAAGTGGTGGACACGGCCGTCAAAGGTGGTGTAATGGGGGTCTCCTGAGGCAGTGCAGATAGATGGGACTGGGGGGGGGGACAAAACAAAGTATTAATTGGTCCCAAAGCAGCCTGGTCAGCCAAGTTCCCACAAGCCAAATATCTCTGGAGATTCCCAGTCATCCAGGACATAATTGTCCCCAAAGTGTTTTTTCCCCCCAAAAGGCAACTGGACTTTCCTGGTTTATTCCTTAAAAATATTATTATTATCTTTCTGAAAGACTCAAATGACTTTCAGGATATTTGACAAGTCCAATTTCAAAGGACAGCTGTGGGAGTAGACACATGTTACATCCTGCCCAGTCTTTTCCTCTTGGAGTGGATGTAACTATGGCTATCCCTGAAGCATTGTAGGCAAGAAAAGTTTGAGAGTGAGTGTTACCTGAGACAGTCGGATCTACAGGAGATGTTGGTTCTGGTAGATAAAGAAAGAAACCCAAGTTAGGATCAATCCTCCTTTTATCATTCAGCCCTTCAGCAAAGCAAGGATGTGGCTAATTAGCAACACAGCAACAGGGGCTGCAGAAAACCTTATCTACCCCTAACCCCCATTTTATTTGGGGTGCCACTAGAGAAAAGATGATCTCCTGAGGAAATGGTTTTTCTCAAAGAATCACAGGACCTTCAGCGTATTTCAGATAGACCAGGGGTAGGCAACCTTGGCTCTTTTATGACTCGTGGACTTCATATCCCAGAATTCCTGAGCCAGCCACGCTGAGCGGAAAGGGAGAGGTTTCCAAGCTGAGCCATGCCGGCTCAGGAATTCTGGGAGTTGAAGTCCACGAGTCATAAAAGAGCCAAAGTTGCCTACCTCTGGCCTAGGCTATAGGGGTAGACACCAGGAAGTAAAAATGATGTTGCTTTCTGCCTTCTCGTGAGGGCCCACATTACCTGGGACAGTTGGCTCTGTGGGAGAAGGTGTTGGTTCTGTTGGAGAAAGAAAAGAAGCTAGATTAGGATCAACCCCCCAATTGTCATTCATCCTTTAGTAGAAGGGGAATATGTGTTCTTAGCAATGGAATAACAAGGCTTGGGGAACATCCCATTGATTTCAAATCTCCACCTCTTACGCCCATCACTGTGAAGCTGGTGCTTCCATGAATATCTTTCAAGGATTGTCATTAAAATAAATTTGAAGGGCAGAATTACCTGAGGTACTGGGCTCCGGGGGTGTAGGTGTTGGTTCTGGTAAACAAAAGAAAGAGTTCAAATTATGATCAATACTCCTGTTGTCGTTCACCACTTTAGCCGAGAGAGGGAACATAGGAAACCTTACACATCCACAGCTTGAAATCCTGAATGATTGTGAAACTCTGCTAAAAGAGGGGAAGGGCACTGCAGGAACATGACTGGGTGAAAGATCCGAGGGGACAGTTGGAGAATGGACCTACTTTGGTTCACATGAGATTCACACGAGGTGGCAGAATTCAGACTGACAGTGGAATCTACAGGGATGGTAATTATCCATGTCAAAAATGTGAATCTTCATTTTTATTTCCTCTGAGTTGTCTTTCACATACACGCAGAAACACTGACCCACAGTATACAAAATGGTGTAGGGGGTTGGACTTGATGACCTCCAAGGTCCCTTCCAACTATATTATTATTATTATTATTATTATTATTATTATTATTATTATTAATCAGAAGGGAAAGCCAAGCCTTTGTATTGCCGTTCCATATGTGCAGTCAGGAGCACAGAATCACTGATTGTGATCCAGCACAATTCATTGCACAGAGGTGGCAGGAAAACTGCTGCTGCTTAGGAGGGGCAGAGACTCAATCTGACAAAAAGTTTGATCTCTCCTGTCTTACAATTCCTCACAACATTCAAGGAGAACCTTGACAAAACCCTACAAAAGTGTCAAGCAGGAAGAAGCAACTGCTGGCCCTGGTTTGTTCCAACGAGAACATGGGAGAAAGGAAAGGAGTCTCCCAAACGCTGACCTGTGCCAGAAGTGCTGCCCGCTGGTGAGAAAGGGATCTAGGCACAGGTGAGGTGCCCTCACTGACATCTGATTGTTTGCCGCTATTGACACATTCAGGCTGGCTAGAAGATACTCAGGTCCCACCACAGCTCTACTCACCACAAACGGTATCCTTTTTCCAGTCCCCGAGGTCTGCCCCGTTCACTTCGCATGCGGCGGCATACGCTTCCAGACTTTTGCACAACTGTTCTTTGTCTCCCCCGGTAGCACATTGGTCATACACACAGCTTTCGAAGTCCAGCTGAGGAGGGATGCTGCCATGGCACTCGGTAAAAGGCCCGTTTGAGGACAGAATTATTTTGCACAAATCTTCAAAAACTGCCTCTTTCAGAGGGTCACAGGGGGCTGGAACTACTGGTGAGCAGCTAGAGACAGAAAAAAAAGCTGACATTGAAGGATCTTTTATTTGGATGCAGAAAGAGAAATGTATGTGATATCTTTTGCCTCAGTTAGTCCATTCATTCTGGCGCTAGGAGGGCATAAGTGCTGAAGAATTTAATGAGGAATGACCTGTGTTCCCTCTAAACACTACATTTTGGGATTTCCTTCCTTCTGTAACGCATAGATAGGTTTCCTGTCAGTGTACAGGATACAGCACAGGGTGTTCAGCTGGTTGACTGATTCTGACTTCACAATCCAAATCCGAGAACACAATACGGAATATGTGGTGGACCCCTGAAAACTCCTTGGTCACAGCCACTTGCCTCCAAGCGTCATCTTCCACTCTCCAACTATTGCCAAATTTGTTGGCATCCGTCTCCAGCATCCCATCTGGCTGTTGGAAATCATCCAGCTGGCTGCCCGAGTAGGTGCCGCACAGCCCACAGAGGTGTCCCTTGTATCTCTCACTGACTTCGATAAAGAGCTGGTGATCCCCATCAAACTTCACCCGAAAGCCTATGTTGCTATCAACAACCACATACGGAAGCTGTTCTTCCACCTGAATGTTGGGCTGTAGCCTCAGAGGAAGATCAACTTTGGCTCCATTCACCTGCAAAAAGGGAAAAGGTGAGTCTGCATCTATTCATGGACAACTTTTCTGGGAGGACTGCTAAATATGCAGGGAGAACCCCAGAGATTTGTCTGGGTTGGCCACTTGCCCTTGCACAATTCCTCAGGGTGTTATACTCACGTAGACCTCTTTGTTCTTCCTCAGAGCCAAGTGGATGTTTCTCAGCGAGATGGCCACTGAGTTGAGAGCTGTCCAGTGTGGGCTGGAGCGATGTTCATTCCGAGTGGTCACAGAGAACTGCTCGGAGGAGTTGCTGCAGATTTGCACTGCAGTGTAATTGCACCCACCCTGGAAGTGGTAGAGTCGCCCATCGAAGGTGACATAGTGTGGGTCTCCATAGATGTGACAGGTGGCCTTGTCTGCAATGTAGCAGCCCAGGATGCCATTCTGCACTTTACAGACTTGGTCTTTTTTGCAACTGTCTGAGGTGCAGGACAAGGTGCCATTTTCTGCACAGCGGCATCGGCCGACGCAATCCGGTTTCCAGAACGTCTCTCCTTTCTGTTGGAGAGAAGACAAAAAAAAAAGGTGAGGACCCAGCACTGCTGTGCAAATTACTCCAGACTCTGTTATTGCCCTAGAGGTTCTATGGGAACAAACCTCATAATATTGATCTCCATCGACACAGCCGCAATCCTCCTGTGGCACACACTGTGCTCCGCTGAAGACAAAACCTTCATCGCATTCGCATCCCTCCACGCAAGGCTTGGTGCAGTTCCATGGAGCGAGTGGATTGGAACACGTGGCGGGACAGGAAGTGGCGCACACGTTGTAATGGCTATGATCGTCACAAGGGATTTCTAGAAAAGAAAGTAGGAACCATACAGAAAGTGAGGAATGCTTCCGAAGGACACACTCAATGTGAGGTTAATTGCTCATCTTTTAGAGTATTATCAGTGGATACTCACTGCAGGAAGTGGCATTCCTCCAGTCGGGAAGCTGCAAGCCAACTCTTTGGCAGGCATCAGCGTACGCCTCCAAAGCACTACACAAGGCCTCATGGGACCCATTCAGTTCACACAGATCAAAGATGCAACTCTGGAAGAAGCTGTTGGGGTTGATTGCAGAATGGCAAGCTGCCAAGGGTCCCTGGCTGCTGGTAAGTTGTCCGCAGTACGCCTCTGACTCATAGAGATTTTTCAGGTCTGAGGGACAAGGTTCTGGGTCTGATGGGCCTTTACAGTTGGGTGGGTCGTACTCGGCATTAGGAACCTGCCAGCTGTTTCCTAGCTCGTTGGAATTCTTGGCTTGCTGTCCATTGGGCATCATGTTGTCATCCTGCCAGCGGTTGTTGAAGTTCCCACACATGCCACAAGTCTTGCTGAAGAAGTCGGTGGGGACCCTGATTTCCACCGAGTGATCTGTGTCGTAAGAGACAATCAGCCCGAAATCCGTTTCTAGGGTCACATAGCGTCCATTGATGTCCACTCTCAGGGTGTTGTTTAGCTTGCGCACAGAAAGCCTTGTAAGCACTTTGTTCACCTAGGAGGAGTCAGACACAAATTGTAATTATATTTCCTAAGAAATGAACCGTCTTAGGATTATCAGGATGGGCTCCCCATTATTAAGTTCCCCTATAGAGGCACTGACTCTGACTATACTTTCAAGAGAGAGAAAAGAAGTATCATAGAGAATAAATCAAACAATAAAAAGATAAAAAAATATGGTACCCTGCTACCAATCAAAGGAGAGGCTATTACTATTTCATTCACACAAGTTCCAATTGAAAACCGATTGGCAGAGAATGTAGCTTCCTTCTAATTCAAACCACAAGTAGGAATTTCATTGGGTTACCAGCACTTGAGTCTTGTGTCCTTTGAGAATCTCAATCCGCTGCCCGTAAACCTCCACCAGCACCCGCTGAACGTAGGAGACGGAGGGATTCCCACGGTGTTCGTTCTTGGCCTCCACGTTAATGTAGGGCAGCCCCGTCTCATTGGAGCAGACCTTGGCCAGGGTATAGGTGCAGGTGCCCATGAAGTGGTGCGTCTTTTTGTCAAAGGTGTTGTAATGAGGGTCGTTGTGGATGCGGCAGACCCCGTACGTATGTTCATAGCAGTCTGGGACACCATTTTTGACTCCACAGTAATAATGCTCAGGGCAGGAATCAGGAAAGCAGCTGAGTTGGTCACCTTGACCGGGGCAGACGCATCTGGTGCTACAGGTGTCGTCGGTCCAATAGCCGGAGCCCACTGGGTAGTGCTTACCCTGGTGCCAGCACCCACACTGATGGCTGGGCACACAGGTACCATTGTAGAGGAAGAACCCAGAGTCACAGACGCAGGCTTCCGTGCATGGCAGATTGCATGTGCCCAGAGCATTTGGGTCCTTGCAGGTGGATGGACAGGCATTGGCGCAAGGCTCATAGTGGCTGTTGGGTTTGCAATGAATGGCTGCAGGAGGCAAGCATATGTCAATGAGCTCAGTGTCAAAGGCTCAATCACAAAAGACACACCACATCCCTCAATGGAGTTGGATGCGAGTCCCTCACTGGGGGATGGTTCCTTCCTAGATTGCATTCCATGCTCTCCAGGATCCCAGCCAGAGGATATTTGCTCTCTAGGATAAGCTGGAGTTGCAAACAGTATGAGAATGTGGAAATATATGTGACTCTCTCAATGGGAGTGATTTTCTTCAAAGAGACAGAGAAAACACCTGCCACTTTCAGCTGATTCCCAGATTTTCTCATTTACATAGATATTTCCCAATCCTCAAGGCCGAACAGAGGCATTGCTGCCACGACACTTACGGCAGAAGGTGGTGTTCCGCCAGGGGTCGATGGCAACTCCCAGGGACTGGCAGGCATCTGCGTAGGATTGCAAGCTCCTGCAGAGGGAGCCTGGATCTAAGTGCAGGGCGCACTGATCATAAAGGCAGCTCTCAAAATACCCCGTTGGATCCAAGATGCTATGACACTGTCTGAATGGTCCATTGACATCCATTAGGCGTCCACAGAAATCGCTGCTCTTGGCTGTGTCCTTCTCATCTTCTGTGCAGATAGGAGTGTGGCCTGAGGAACAACTGGAAAGAAAAGCCACAACTTGGTTCAGTACCCTACAATCTCCATCCTGGACAAACCCACCACTTGGTGATGTAAGCTACAAACCTGCTGAGGTTGGCCACCTGCCAGCTGTTGCCCAAACTTGTGGAGTCAGGCTCTAGTTCCCCATCGGGGTTGAGGAAATCATCAGAAGTATTCCCGTTGTAGTTTCCACACATGCCGCAGACCTCACCCTTGTACGTGCTAAGGAGGGACACTTCCACTTGGTGGTCTCCGTCAAACTTGACTCTCAGTCCAAAATCTGTAGAAACCACTGTGTAGAAGCCACTGGACAAGATCGTCACACCTGGTATTGGGATGGAGGGGACCACGACTGGCTTCCCATCGACCTAGAAGGATAATTCAGGCATTACTGTAGGGGACTCGGGAACAACAAGTGCTCTTTCGTACCCCAACATAGGAGTAAATGTGTCCTTCAGCAGCAGCAGCAGCTCCACGTACTGTAACTCTTCCTCCCTTTCCCAGGTTGATCCGGATGCCAAAGACATCAACATCCAAACTCTCAACATAGGAGACGTGCGTGTTGCCCCCTCGATGCTCATTGCTTGCTTCCACGTTGAAGTAGGGGAGCAGAGAGTTGTTCCGGTCACATAGTTGGGAGAGAGTATAGGTGCAGTTGCCCATGAAGTGGTGTGTCTGCTTGTCAAAAGTGTAATAATGAGGGTCACCCGACACCAGGCAGGACTCTGGAAAGAAGAAAGGGAGGTCAGACATGGGCCGGCGTGAGCTAGTTTGAAATTGAAATGAGCAGAGGATACACTGTTGAGAGGAGCAACAGAGTTTTTGGGTGCCTCCTTCAGTTTTAGCAGCTTGACATGGTCCAAGGAACTTCAACCTTGCCTTGTGCTTGACAACAGTTAATTTCCTGAACTTCTGTTCTTCCTAGCCACCAAGACTGCAAATCAAACCAAGACCCCATCGGAAGTGGGAAGTTTAATCTTTAGTCTATTAAAGACACTCACCTTGGGTGAGAACAATTGGTGTGTGTGTGGTTGTAGATATCGGAGTGGTTGATGTATCATCTGAAAAGAGAAATAACATTTATATTTTCAGTGTAAGGCAGGGAAGAACCCTTGGCTTCCTACTCCAACTCTGGCTCCTGAAACATGCCATTGCAACTGAGGGCGTACTCATTCTTCACACATCACAATTTGCATATATGTGATGAAGAGCATTACCTGTCAGCGTTGTTGTTTCAGGTGTCATGGTGGAACCTGGTCAAAAAAGAAAATGGCCCAGTCATCATCAACCTCCCTTGTCATTTATTGAAAGAAAACTCTAAACAACATCAAAGTGTGTGGACTTGCCAAGGCAGCAACCTGTAGTAAGGGACAACTCTTCCACCCCCACCCCTGTTCAGTTGTCTGAACATTGTCTTCCTCAAACACCCACATGACCTTCAGGGTATTTCCCGAGGACCGTTCCAGAGAACACCCGTAGTAGTGGTAGCCACCAGGCAGGAAAGAACACGTTGCTCCTGCCTGGTCTTCCCAAGAGGCTGTGCTTTACCTGAGACAGGTGGCTCTACAGGAGAAGGTGTTGGCTCTGGGGGAGAAAGGAAAGAAGCGAGATTAGGGTCAACCCTCTGATTGTCATCCATCCCCTCAGCCAAAGGAGAATGTGAAGTCTTAGCAAGGGAACAACAAGGGATGAGGAACATGTTGTCCACCATTAATGTCCACCTATTTTTCTCTTCACACTAGAGTTCAAGTGGCACCCAATGGGTTACATAATCATAACTTCCTGGGCTGGTAAAGACATCCTTGCAAGATGGAAAAGAAGGGACCTGACTCTTCATTGTCCAGGTCTCCTTGAAAGTTAGAGAAAAATGGAAGCTGAAGTGGACTAACTGGAAATTAGGAACCACGTGGCCTTCAAGATATATCCCATATGCCATCCCAGAGAAGAGCCATAGAGGTAGACAGCAGGCAGGAAAGAACATGTGACTTCCTGCCTGGTCTTCTCCTGAGGCCCACATCACCTGAAAAAGAAGAAGGTGTTGGCTCTTGTGGACAAAGGAAATAAGGTAGATTAGGATCAAACCCCCCAATTGTCATCCATCCTTTAGTAGAAGGGGAATATGTGTTCTTAGCAATGGAATAACAAGGGTTGGGGAACATCCATTGACTTCAAATCTCCACCTATTACGCCCATCACTGTGAAGCTGGTGCTTCCATGAATATCTTTCAAGGATTGTCATTAAAATAAATTCGAGGGGCAGAATTACCTGAGGTACTGGGCTCCGGGGGTGTAGGTGTTGGTTCTGGTAAACAAAAGAAAGAGTTTAAATTATGATCAATACTCCTGTTGTCGTTCACCACTTTAGCTGAGAGAGGGAACATAGGAGGAGGAAACCTTACACACCTACAGCTTGAAATCCTGAATGATTGTGAAACTCTGCTAAAAGAGGGGAAGGGCACTGCAGGAACATGACTGGGTGAAAGATCCGAGGGGACAGTTGGAGAATGGACCTACTTTGGTTCACATGAGATTCACACGAGGTGGCAGAATTCAGACTGACAGTGGAATCTACAGGGATGGTAATTATCCATGTCAAAAATGTGAATCTTCATTTTTATTTCCTCTGAGTTGTCTTTCACATACACGCAGAAACACTGACCCACAGTATACAAAATGGTGTAGGGGGTTGGACTTGATGACCTCCAAGGTCCCTTCCAACTATATTATTATTATTATTATTATTATTATTATTATTATTAATCAGAAGGGAAAGCCAAGCCTTTGTATTGCCGTTCCATGTGTGCAGTCAGGAGCACAGAATCACTGATTGTGATCCAGCACAATTCATTGCACAGAGGTGGCAGGAAACTGCTGCTGCTTAGGAGGGGCAGAGACTCAATCTGACAAAAAGTTTGATCTCTCCTGTCTTACAATTCCTCACAACATTCAAGGAGAACCTTGACAAAACCCTACAAAAGTGTCAAGCAGGAAGAAGCAACTGCTGGCCCTGGTTTGTTCCAACGAGAACATGGGAGAAAGGAAAGGAGTCTCCCAAACGCTGACCTGTGCCAGAAGTGCTGCCCGCTGGTGAGAAAGGGATCTAGGCACAGGTGAGGTGCCCTCACTGACATCTGATTGTTTGCCGCTATTGACACATTCAGGCTGGCTAGAAGATACTCAGGTCCCACCACAGCTCTACTCACCACAAACGGTATCCTTTTTCCAGTCCCCGAGGTCTGCCCCGTTCACTTCGCATGCGGCGGCATACGCTTCCAGACTTTTGCACAACTGTTCTTTGTCTCCCCCGGTAGCACATTGGTCATACACACAGCTTTCGAAGTACAGCTGAGGAGGGATGCTGCCATGGCACTCGGTAAAAGGCCCGTTTGAGGACAGAATTATTTTGCACAAATCTTCAAAAACTGCCTCTTTCAGAGGGTCACAGGGGGCTGGAACTACTGGTGAGCAGCTAGAGACAGAAAAAAAAGCTGACATTGAAGGATCTTTTATTTGGATGCAGAAAGAGAAATGTATGTGATATCTTTTGCCTCAGTTAGTCCATTCATTCTGGCGCTAGGAGGGCATAAGTGCTGAAGAATTTAATGAGGAATGACCTGTGTTCCCTCTAAACACTACATTTTGGGATTTCCTTCCTTCTGTAACGCATAGATAGGTTTCCTGTCAGTGTACAGGATACAGCACAGGGTGTTCAGCTGGTTGACTGATTCTGACTTCACAATCCAAATCCGAGAACACAATACGGAATATGTGGTGGACCCCTGAAAACTCCTTGTTCACAGCCACTTGCCTCCAAGCGTCATCTTCCACTCTCCAACTATTGCCAAATTTGTTGGCATCCGTCTCCAGCATCCCATCTGGCTGTTGGAAATCATCCAGCTGGCTGCCCGAGTAGGTGCCGCACAGCCCACAGAGGTGTCCCTTGTATCTCTCACTGACTTCGATAAAGAGCTGGTGATCCCCATCAAACTTCACCCGAAAGCCTAGGTTGCTATCAACAACCACATACGGAAGCTGTTCTTCCACCTGAATGTTGGGCTGTAGCCTCAGAGGAAGATCAACTTTGGCTCCATTCACCTGCAAAAAGGGAAAAGGTGAGTCTGCATCTATTCATGGACAACTTTTCTGGGAGGACTGCTAAATATGCAGGGAGAACCCCAGAGATTTGTCTGGGTTGGCCACTTGCCCTTGCACAATTCCTCAGGGTGTTATACTCACGTAGACCTCTTTGTTCTTCCTCAGAGCCAAGTGGATGTTTCTCAGCGAGATGGCCACTGAGTTGAGAGCTGTCCAGTGTGGGCTGGAGCGATGTTCATTCCGAGTGGTCACAGAGAACTGCTCGGAGGAGTTGCTGCAGATTTGCACTGCAGTGTAATTGCACCCACCCTGGAAGTGGTAGAGTCGCCCATCGAAGGTGACATAGTGTGGGTCTCCATAGATGTGACAGATGGCCTTGTCTGCAATGTGGCAGCCCAGGATGCCATTCTGCACTTTACAGACTTGGTCTTTTTTGCAACTGTCTGAGGTGCAGGACAAGGTGCCATTTTCTGCACAGCGGCATCGGCCGACGCAATCCGGTTTCCAGAACGTCTCTCCTTTCTGTTGGAGAGAAGACAAAAAAAAAAGGTGAGGACCCAGCACTGCTGTGCAAATTACTCCAGACTCTGTTATTGCCCTAGAGGTTCTATGGGAACAAACCTCATAATATTGATCTCCATCGACACAGCCGCAATCCTCCTGTGGCACACACTGTGCTCCGCTGAAGACAAAACCTTCATCGCATTCGCATCCCTCCACGCAAGGCTTGGTGCAGTTCCATGGAGCGAGTGGATTGGAACACGTGGCGGGACAGGAAGTGGCGCACACGTTGTAATGGCTATGATCGTCACAAGGGATTTCTAGAAAAGAAAGTAGGAACCATACAGAAAGTGAGGAATGCTTCCCAAGGACACACTCAATGTGAGGTTAATTGCTCATCTTTTAGAGTATTATCAGTGGATACTCACTGCAGGAAGTGGCATTCCTCCAGTCGGGAAGCAGCAAGCCAACTCTTTGGCAGGCATCAGCGTACGCCTCCAAAGCACTACACAAGGCCTCATGGGACCCATTCAGTTCACACAGATCAAAGATGCAACTCTGGAAGAAGCTGTTGGGGTTGATTGCAGAATGGCAAGCTGCCAAGGGTCCCTGGCTGCTGGTAAGTTGTCCGCAGTACGCCTCTGACTCATAGAGATTTTTCAGGTCTGAGGGACAAGGTTCTGGGTCTGATGGGCCTTTACAGTTGGGTGGGTCGTACTCGGCATTAGGAACCTGCCAGCTGTTTCCTAGCTCGTTGGAATTCTTGGCTTGCTGTCCATTGGGCATCATGTTGTCATCCTGCCAGCGGTTGTTGAAGTTCCCACACATGCCACAAGTCTTGCTGAAGAAGTCGGTGGGGACCCTGATTTCCACCGAGTGATCTGTGTCGTAAGAGACAATCAGCCCAAAATCCGTTTCTAGGGTCACATAGCGTCCATTGATGTCCACTCTCAGGGTGTTGTTTAGCTTGCGCACAGAAAGCCTTGTAAGCACTTTGTTCACCTAGGAGGAGTCAGACACAAATTGTAATTATATTTCCTAAGAAATGAACCGTCTTAGGATTATCAGGATGGGCTCCCCATTATTAAGTTCCCCTATAGAAGCACTGACTCTGACTATACTTTCAAGAGAGAGAAAAGAAGTATCATAGAGAATAAATCAAACAATAAAAAGATAAAAAAATATGGTACCCTGCTACCAATCAAAGGAGAGGCTATTACTATTTCATTCACACAAGTTCCAATTGAAAACCGATTGGCAGAGAATGTAGCTTCCTTCTAATTCAAACCACAAGTAGGAATTTCATTGGGTTACCAGCACTTGAGTCTTGTGTCCTTTGAGAATCTCAATCCGCTGCCCGTAAACCTCCACCAGCACCCGCTGAACGTAGGAGACGGAGGGATTCCCACGGTGTTCGTTCTTGGCCTCCACGTTAAAGTAGGGCAGCCCCGTCTCATTGGAGCAGACCTTGGCCAGGGTATAGGTGCAGGTGCCCATGAAGTGGTGCGTCTTTTTGTCAAAGGTGTTGTAATGAGGGTCGTTGTGGATGCGGCAGACCCCGTACGTATGTTCATAGCAGTCTGGGACACCATTTTTGACTCCACAGTAATAATGCTCAGGGCAGGAATCAGGAAAGCAGCTGAGTTGGTCACCTTGACCGGGGCAGACGCATCTGGTGCTACAGGTGTCGTCGGTCCAATAGCCGGAGCCCACTGGGTAGTGCTTACCCTGGTGCCAGCACCCACACTGATGGCTGGGCACACAGGTACCATTGTAGAGGAAGAACCCAGAGTCACAGACGCAGGCTTCCGTGCATGGCAGATTGCATGTGCCCGGAGCATTTGGGTCCTTGCAGGTGGATGGACAGGCATTGGCGCAAGGCTCATAGTGGCTGTTGGGTTTGCAATGAATGGCTGCAGGAGGCAAGCATATGTCAATGAGCTCAGTGTCAAAGGCTCAATCACAAAAGACACACCACATCCCTCAATGGAGTTGGATGCGAGTCCCTCACTGGGGGATGGTTCCTTCCTAGATTGCATTCCATGCTCTCCAGGATCCCAGCCAGAGGATATTTGCTCTCTAGGATAAGCTGGAGTTGCAAACAGTATGAGAATGTGGAAATATATGTGACTCTCTCAATGGGAGTGATTTTCTTCAAAGAGACAGAGAAAACACCTGCCACTTTCAGCTGATTCCCAGATTTTCTCATTTACATAGATATTTCCCAATCCTCAAGGCCGAACAGAGGCATTGCTGCCACGACACTTACGGCAGAAGGTGGTGTTCCGCCAGGGGTCGATGGCAACTCCCAGGGACTGGCAGGCATCTGCGTAGGATTGCAAGCTCCTGCAGAGGGAGCCTGGATCTAAGTGCAGGGCGCACTGATCATAAAGGCAGCTCTCAAAATACCCCGTTGGATCCAAGATGCTATGACACTGTCTGAATGGTCCATTGACATCCATTAGGCGTCCACAGAAATCGCTGCTCTTGGCTGTGTCCTTCTCATCTTCTGTGCAGATAGGAGTGTGGCCTGAGGAACAACTGGAAAGAAAAGCCACAACTTGGTTCAGTACCCTACAATCTCCATCCTGGACAAACCCACCACTTGGTGATGTAAGCTACAAACCTGCTGAGGTTGGCCACCTGCCAGCTGTTGCCCAAACTTGTGGAGTCAGGCTCTAGTTCCCCATCGGGGTTGAGGAAATCATCAGAAGTATTCCCGTTGTAGTTTCCACACATGCCGCAGACCTCACCCTTGTACGTGCTAAGGAGGGACACTTCCACTTGGTGGTCTCCGTCAAACTTGACTCTCAGTCCAAAATCTGTAGAAACCACTGTGTAGAAGCCACTGGACAAGATCGTCACACCTGGTATTGGGATGGAGGGGACCACGACTGGCTTCCCATCGACCTAGAAGGATAATTCAGGCATTACTGTAGGGGACTCGGGAACAACAAGTGCTCTTTCGTACCCCAACATAGGAGTAAATGTGTCCTTCAGCAGCAGCAGCAGCTCCACGTACTGTAACTCTTCCTCCCTTTCCCAGGTTGATCCGGATGCCAAAGACATCAACATCCAAACTCTCAACATAGGAGACGTGCGTGTTGCCCCCTCGATGCTCATTGCTTGCTTCCACGTTGAAGTAGGGGAGCAGAGAGTTGTTCCGGTCACATAGTTGGGAGAGAGTATAGGTGCAGTTGCCCATGAAGTGGTGTGTCTGCTTGTCAAAAGTGTAATAATGAGGGTCACCCGACACCAGGCAGGACTCTGGAAAGAAGAAAGGGAGGTCAGACATGGGCCGGCGTGAGCTAGTTTGAAATTGAAATGAGCAGAGGATACACTGTTGAGAGGAGCAACAGAGTTTTTGGGTGCCTCCTTCAGTTTTAGCAGCTTGACATGGTCCAAGGAACTTCAACCTTGCCTTGTGCTTGACAACAGTTAATTTCCTGAACTTCTGTTCTTCCTAGCCACCAAGACTGCAAATCAAACCAAGAACCCATCGGAAGTGGGAAGTTTAATCTTTAGTCTATTAAAGACACTCACCTTGGGTGAGAACAATTGGTGTGTGTGTGGTTGTAGATATCGGAGTGGTTGATGTATCATCTGAAAAGAGAAATAACATTTATATTTTCAGTGTAAGGCAGGGAAGAACCCTTGGCTTCCTACTCCAACTCTGGCTCCTGAAACATGCCATTGCAACTGAGGGCGTACTCATTCTTCACACATCACAATTTGCATATATGTGATGAAGAGCATTACCTGTCAGCGTTGTTGTTTCAGGTGTCATGGTGGAACCTGGTCAAAAAAGAAAATGGCCCAGTCATCATCAACCTCCCTTGTCATTTATTGAAAGAAAACTCTAAACAACATCAAAGTGTGTGGACTTGCCAAGGCAGCAACCTGTAGTAAGGGACAACTCTTCCACCCCCACCCCTGTTCAGTTGTCTGAACATTGTCTTCCTCAAACACCCACATGACCTTCAGGGTATTTCCCGAGGACCGTTCCAGAGAACACCCGTAGTAGTGGTAGCCACCAGGCAGGAAAGAACACGTTGCTCCTGCCTGGTCTTCCCAAGAGGCTGTGCTTTACCTGAGACAGGTGGCTCTACAGGAGAAGGTGTTGGCTCTGGGGGAGAAAGGAAAGAAGCGAGATTAGGGTCAACCCTCTGATTGTCATCCATCCCCTCAGCCAAAGGAGAATGTGAAGTCTTAGCAAGGGAACAACAAGGGATGAGGAACATGTTGTCCACCATTAATGTCCACCTATTTTTCTCTTCACACTAGAGTTCAAGTGGCACCCAATGGGTTACATAATCATAACTTCCTGGGCTGGTAAAGACATCCTTGCAAGATGGAAAAGAAGGGACCTGACTCTTCATTGTCCAGGTCTCCTTGAAAGTTAGAGAAAAATGGAAGCTGAAGTGGACTAACTGGAAATTAGGAACCACGTGGCCTTCAAGATATATCCCATATGCCATCCCAGAGAAGAGCCATAGAGGTAGACAGCAGGCAGGAAAGAACATGTGACTTCCTGCCTGGTCTTCTCCTGAGGCCCACATTACCTGAAAAAGAAGAAGGTGTTGGCTCTTGTGGACAAAGGAAATAAGGTAGATTAGGATCAAACCCCCCAATTGTCATCCATCCTTTAGTAGAAGGGGAATATGTGTTCTTAGCAATGGAATAACAAGGGTTGGGGAACATCCATTGACTTCAAATCTCCACCTATTACGCCCATCACTGTGAAGCTGGTGCTTCCATGAATATCTTTCAAGGATTGTCATTAAAATAAATTCGAGGGGCAGAATTACCTGAGGTACTGGGCTCCGGGGGTGTAGGTGTTGGTTCTGGTAAACAAAAGAAAGAGTTTAAATTATGATCAATACTCCTGTTGTCGTTCACCACTTTAGCTGAGAGAGGGAACATAGGAGGAGGAAACCTTACACACCTACAGCTTGAAATCCTGAATGATTGTGAAACTCTGCTAAAAGAGGGGAAGGGCACTGCAGGAACATGACTGGGTGAAAGATCCGAGGGGACAGTTGGAGAATGGACCTACTTTGGTTCACATGAGATTCACACGAGGTGGCAGAATTCAGACTGACAGTGGAATCTACAGGGATGGTAATTATCCATGTCAAAAATGTGAATCTTCATTTTTATTTCCTCTGAGTTGTCTTTCACATACACGCAGAAACACTGACCCACAGTATACAAAATGGTGTAGGGGGTTGGACTTGATGACCTCCAAGGTCCCTTCCAACTATATTATTATTATTATTATTATTATTATTATTATTATTATTATTATTAATCAGAAGGGAAAGCCAAGCCTTTGTATTGCCGTTCCATGTGTGCAGTCAGGAGCACAGAATCACTGATTGTGATCCAGCACAATTCATTGCACAGAGGTGGCAGGAAACTGCTGCTGCTTAGGAGGGGCAGAGACTCAATCTGACAAAAAGTTTGATCTCTCCTGTCTTACAATTCCTCACAACATTCAAGGAGAACCTTGACAAAACCCTACAAAAGTGTCAAGCAGGAAGAAGCAACTGCTGGCCCTGGTTTGTTCCAACGAGAACATGGGAGAAAGGAAAGGAGTCTCCCAAACGCTGACCTGTGCCAGAAGTGCTGCCCGCTGGTGAGAAAGGGATCTAGGCACAGGTGAGGTGCCCTCACTGACATCTGATTGTTTGCCGCTATTGACACATTCAGGCTGGCTAGAAGATACTCAGGTCCCACCACAGCTCTACTCACCACAAACGGTATCCTTTTTCCAGTCCCCGAGGTCTGCCCCGTTCACTTCGCATGCGGCGGCATACGCTTCCAGACTTTTGCACAACTGTTCTTTGTCTCCCCCGGTAGCACATTGGTCATACACACAGCTTTCGAAGTACAGCTGAGGAGGGATGCTGCCATGGCACTCGGTAAAAGGCCCGTTTGAGGACAGAATTATTTTGCACAAATCTTCAAAAACTGCCTCTTTCAGAGGGTCACAGGGGGCTGGAACTACTGGTGAGCAGCTAGAGACAGAAAAAAAAGCTGACATTGAAGGATCTTTTATTTGGATGCAGAAAGAGAAATGTATGTGATATCTTTTGCCTCAGTTAGTCCATTCATTCTGGCGCTAGGAGGGCATAAGTGCTGAAGAATTTAATGAGGAATGACCTGTGTTCCCTCTAAACACTACATTTTGGGATTTCCTTCCTTCTGTAACGCATAGATAGGTTTCCTGTCAGTGTACAGGATACAGCACAGGGTGTTCAGCTGGTTGACTGATTCTGACTTCACAATCCAAATCCGAGAACACAATACGGAATATGTGGTGGACCCCTGAAAACTCCTTGTTCACAGCCACTTGCCTCCAAGCGTCATCTTCCACTCTCCAACTATTGCCAAATTTGTTGGCATCCGTCTCCAGCATCCCATCTGGCTGTTGGAAATCATCCAGCTGGCTGCCCGAGTAGGTGCCGCACAGCCCACAGAGGTGTCCCTTGTATCTCTCACTGACTTCGATAAAGAGCTGGTGATCCCCATCAAACTTCACCCGAAAGCCTATGTTGCTATCAACAACCACATACGGAAGCTGTTCTTCCACCTGAATGTTGGGCTGTAGCCTCAGAGGAAGATCAACTTTGGCTCCATTCACCTGCAAAAAGGGAAAAGGTGAGTCTGCATCTATTCATGGACAACTTTTCTGGGAGGACTGCTAAATATGCAGGGAGAACCCCAGAGATTTGTCTGGGTTGGCCACTTGCCCTTGCACAATTCCTCAGGGTGTTATACTCACGTAGACCTCTTTGTTCGTCCTCAGAGCCAAGTGGATGTTTCTCAGCGAGATGGCCACTGAGTTGAGAGCTGTCCAGTGTGGGCTGGAGCGATGTTCATTCCGAGTGGTCACAGAGAACTGCTCGGAGGAGTTGCTGCAGATTTGCACTGCAGTGTAATTGCACCCACCCTGGAAGTGGTAGAGTCGCCCATCGAAGGTGACATAGTGTGGGTCTCCATAGATGTGACAGGTGGCCTTGTCTGCAATGTAGCAGCCCAGGATGCCATTCTGCACTTTACAGACTTGGTCTTTTTTGCAACTGTCTGAGGTGCAGGACAAGGTGCCATTTTCTGCACAGCGGCATCGGCCGACGCAATCCGGTTTCCAGAACGTCTCTCCTTTCTGTTGGAGAGAAGACAAAAAAAAAAGGTGAGGACCCAGCACTGCTGTGCAAATTACTCCAGACTCTGTTATTGCCCTAGAGGTTCTATGGGAACAAACCTCATAATATTGATCTCCATCGACACAGCCGCAATCCTCCTGTGGCACACACTGTGCTCCGCTGAAGACAAAACCTTCATCGCATTCGCATCCCTCCACGCAAGGCTTGGTGCAGTTCCATGGAGCGAGTGGATTGGAACACGTGGCGGGACAGGAAGTGGCGCACACGTTGTAATGGCTATGATCGTCACAAGGGATTTCTAGAAAAGAAAGTAGGAACCATACAGAAAGTGAGGAATGCTTCCGAAGGACACACTCAATGTGAGGTTAATTGCTCATTTTTTAGAGTATTATCAGTGGATACTCACTGCAGGAAGTGGCATTCCTCCAGTCGGGAAGCAGCAAGCCAACTCTTTGGCAGGCATCAGCGTACGCCTCCAAAGCACTACACAAGGCCTCATGGGACCCATTCAGTTCACACAGATCAAAGATGCAACTCTGGAAGAAGCTGTTGGGGTTGATTGCAGAATGGCAAGCTGCCAAGGGTCCCTGGCTGCTGGTAAGTTGTCCGCAGTACGCCTCTGACTCATAGAGATTTTTCAGGTCTGAGGGACAAGGTTCTGGTTCTTGTGGGCCTTTACAGTTGGGTGGGTCGTACTCTGCATTAGGAACCTGCCAGCTGTTTCCCAGCTCGTTGGAATTCTTGGCTTGCTCTCCATTGGGCATCATGTTGTCATCCTGCCAGCGGTTGTTGAAGTTCCCACACATGCCACAGGTCTTGTTGAAGAAGTTAGTGGGGACCCTGATTTCCACCGAGTGATCTGTGTCGTAAGAGACAATCAGCCCGAAATCCGTTTCTAGGGTCACATAGCGTCCATTGATGTCCACTCTCAGGGTGTTCTTTAGCTTGCGCACAGAAAGCCTTGTAAGCACTTTGTTCACCTAGGAGGAGTCAGACACAAATTGTAATTATATTTCCCAAGAAATGAACCGTCTTAGGATTATCAGGATGGGCTCCCCATTATTAAGTTCCCCTATAGAAGCACTGACTCTGACTATCCTTTAGGAGAGAGCAAACAAGTATCATAGAGAATAAATCAAACAATGAAAAGATAAAAAAAATATGGTACCCTGCTACCAATCAAAGGAGAGGCTATTACTATTTCATTCACACAAGTTCCAATCGAAAACCGATTGGCAGAGAATGTAGCTTCCTTCTAATTCAAACCACAAGTAGGAATTTCATTGGGTTACCAGCACTTGATTCTTGTGTCCTTTGAGAATCTCAATCCGCTGCCCGTAAACCTCCACCAGCACCCGCTGAACGTAGGAGACGGAGGGATTCCCACGGTGTTCGTTCTTGGCCTCCACGTTAAAGTAGGGCAGCCCCGTCTCATTGGAGCAGACCTTGGCCAGGGTATAGGTGCAGGTGCCCATGAAGTGGTGCGTCTTTTTGTCAAAGGTGTTGTAATGAGGGTCGTTGTGGATGCGGCAGACCCCGTACGTATGTTCATAGCAGTCTGGGACACCATTTTTGACTCCACAGTAATAATGCTCAGGGCAGGAATCAGGAAAGCAGCTGAGTTGGTCACCTTGACCGGGGCAGACGCATCTGGTGCTACAGGTGTCGTCGGTCCAATAGCCGGAGCCCACTGGGTAGTGCTTACCCTGGTGCCAGCACCCACACTGATGGCTGGGCACACAGGTACCATTGTAGAGGAAGAACCCAGAGTCACAGACGCAGGCTTCCGTGCATGGCAGATTGCATGTGCCCGGAGCATTTGGGTCCTTGCAGGTGGATGGACAGGCATTGGCGCAAGGCTCATAGTGGCTGTTGGGTTTGCAATGAATGGCTGCAGGAGGCAAGCATATGTCAATGAGCTCAATGTCAAAGGCTCGATCACAAAAGACACACCACATTGCTCAATGGAGTTGGATGCGAGTCCCTCACTGGGGGATGGTTCCTTCCTAGATTGCATTCCCTGCTCTCCAAGATCCCAACCAGAGAATATTTGCTCTCTAGGATAAGCTGGAGTTGCAAACAGTATGATAATGTAGAAATATATATGACTCTCCCAATGGGAGTGATTTTCTTCAAAGAGACAGAGAAAACACCCTGCCACTTTCAGCCGATTCCCAGATTTTCCCATTTACATAGATGTTTCTCAATCCTCAAGGGTGACCAGAGGCATTGCTGCCACAACACTTACGGCAGAAGGTGGTGTTCCGCCAGGGATCGATGGCAACTCCCAGGGACTGGCAGGCATCTGCGTAGGATTGCAAGCTCCTGCAGAGGGAGCCTGGATCTAAGTGCAGGGCGCACTGATCATAAAGGCAGCTCTCAAAATACCCCGTTGGATCCAAGACGCTATGACACTGTCTGAATGGTCCATTGACATCCATTAGGCGTCCACAGAAATTGCTGCTCTTGGCTGTGTCCTTCTCATCCTCTGTGCAGACAGGAGTGTGGCCTGAGGAACAACTGGAAAGAAAAGCCACAACTTGGTTCAGTACCCTACAATCTCCATCCTGGACAAACCCACCACTTGGCAATTTAAGCTACAAACCTGCTGAGGTTGGCCACCTGCCAGCTGTTGCCCAAGCTTGTGGAGTCAGGCTCTAGTTCCCCATCGGGGTTGAGGAAATCATCAGAAGTATTCCCGTTGTAGTTTCCGCACATGCCGCAGACCTCACCCTTGTACGTGTTAAGGAGGGACACTTCCACTTGGTGGTCTCCGTCAAACTTGACTCTCAGTCCAAAATCTGTAGAAACCACTGTGTAGAAGCCACTGGGCAAGATCTTCACACCTCGTATTGGAATGGAGGGGACCATAACTGGCTCCCTATCGACCTAGAAGGAGATTCAGTCATTAATGTAGGGGACTCAGGAACAACAAGTGCTCTTTCGTACCCCAACATAGGAGCAAATGTGTCCTTCAGCAGCAGCAGCAGCTCCACGTACCGTAACTCTTCCTCCCTTTCCCAGGTTGATCCGGATGCCAAAGACATCAACATCCACACTCTCAACATAGGAGACGTGCGTGTTGCCCCCTCGATGCTCATTGCTTGCTTCCACGTTGAAGTAGGGGAGCAGAGAGTTGTTCCGGTCACACAGTTGGGAGAGAGTATAGGTGCAGTTGCCCATGAAGTGGTGAGTCTGCTTGTCAAAAGTGTAATAATGAGGGTCACCGGACACCAGGCAGGACTCTGGAAAGAAGAAAGGGAGGTCAGACATGGGCCGGCGTGAGCTAGTTTGAAATTGAAATGAGCAGAGGATACACTTTTGAGAGGAGCAACAGTTTTTGGGTGCTTCCTTCAGTTTTAGCAGCTTGACATGGTCCAAGGAACTTCAACCTTGCCTTGTTCTTGACAACAGTTAATTTCCTGAACTTCTGCTCTTCCTAGCCACCAAGACTGCAAATCAAACCAAGAACCCATCGGAAGTGGGAAGTTTAATCTTTAGTCTATTAAAGACACTCACCTTGGGTGAGAACAATTGGTGTGTGTGTGGTTGTAGATATCGGAGTGGTTGATGTATCATCTGAAAAGAGAAATAACATTTATATTTTCTGTGTAAGGCAGGGAAGAACCCTTGGCTTCCTACTCCAACTCTGGCTCCTGAAACATGCCATTGCAACTGAGGGGGTACTCACTCTTCACACATCACAATTTGCATATATGTGATGAAGAGCATTACCTGTCAGCGTTGTTGTTTCAGGTGTCATGGTGGAACCTGGTCAAAAAAGAGAATGGCCCAGTCATCATCAACCTCCCTTGTCATTTATTGAAAGACAATTCTAAACAACATCAAAGTGTGTGGACTTGCCAAGGCAGCAACCTGTAGTAAGGGACAACTCTTCCACCCCCACCCCTGTTCAGTTGTCTGAACATTGTCTTCCTCAAACACCCACATGACCTTCAGGGTATTTCCTGAGGACCGTTCCAGAGAACACCCGTAGTACTGGTAGCTACCAGGCAGGAAAGAACACGTTGCTCCTGCCTGGTCTTCCCAAGAGGCTGTGCTTTACCTGAGACAGGTGGCTCTACAGGAGAAGGTGTTGACTCTGGTGGAGAAAGGAAAGAAGCAAGATTAGGGTCAACCCTCCGATTGTCATCCATCCCCTCAGCCAAAGGAGAATGTGAAGTCTTAGCAAGGGAACAACAAGGGATGAGGAACATGTTGTCCACCATTAATGTCCACCTATTTTTCTCTTCACACTAGAGTTCAAGTGGCACCCAATGGGTTACATAGTCATAACTTCCTGGGCTGGTAAAGACATCCTTGCAAGATGGAAAAGAAGGGACCTGACTCTTCATTGTCCGGGTCTTCTTGAAAGTTAGTGAAAAATGGAAGCTGAAGTGGACTGACTGGAAATTAGGAACCTCATGGCCTTCAAGATATATCCCACATGCCATCCCAGAGAACAGCCATAGAGGTAGATAGCAGGCAGGAAGGACCATGGGGCTTCCCACCTGGTCTTCTCCTGAGACCCACATTACCTGAGACAGGTGGCTCTACAGGAGAAGGTGTTGGCTCTGGTGGACAAAGGAAAGAAATGAGATTAGGATCAACCCTCCAATTGTCAATCCCTTAGCAGAAAGAGAATTTGTGCTCTTAGCAAAGCAGCAACATAGATTTAGGAACACCTCATCCACCACAACATGCCCCTACTTGGTGCATTCTTTTAAAAGATTGGTCTCCTGAGGACATTCATTTTCTGAAGAAACCACATGACCTTCAGGGTATTTGGGAAGTGGCATCCTGAAGGACAGCCATAGGAGTAGAAACCAGGCAGGAAAGAACATATTGCTTCCTGTATAGTGTTTTCACTCTGGAATCATGCAGTTGGTGGAACCATGGTTATCCTTGAAGCATTGAATTCAAGAGAAGTTTGAGGGCCAGCATTACCTGAGTTGGTTGGCTCTACAGGAGAAGGTGTTGGCTCTGGTGGATAAAGAAAAGGAGAGAGGTTACGATCAACCCTCCAATTATCATTCATCCTCTTAGCCAAAGGAAAATTGTTTTCTTACCAAATCAGCCACATGGATTGAGGAACACCTTATCCACCCCAAAATGCAAAAGTTCATCTCCTGAGGACATTGTCTTCCTCAAGGAATAACAAGTCCTTCAGGGTACTTGGCAAGTGCCATCCAGAGTAAAGCTATTTGCGGTAGACACAAGGACGGAGAGAACATGTTGCCTCCTGCTCAGTGATTTCCTCCTGGAAACCTGCAAAGAACATGGCTATCCTTATAGCACTGACACCAAGAAAAGTTTGTGGGATGTTGTTACATGAGGCGTGGCCCTATTGACATTCATCTCATCAGGCAAAGGAGAAAGCAAAGGAGCAACAAGGGCTGAGGAAGATCTTGCCCACCATTAATGTCCACCTATTTTGCTGTTCACGCTAGTGTTCAAGTGGCACCCAATGGGTTACAGAATTGTAACATTGGATTGGAAAAGAGATCTTTTGTCCTACTTTACGAGACGAACAAGAAAGAACCTGACACTCCTTGGATATTAGTGAAAAATGGAAGCTGAAGTGGACCGACAAAAAATTCGTCTCCTGGGGATATTGTCTTCCTCAAGGAACCACGTGGTCCTCGAGATATATCCCACACGCCATCCCAGAGGACAGCCATAGGGGTAGATACTAGGCAGAAAGGAACATTTGGCTTCCTGCCTGGTCTTCTCCTTAGTGCCAGCATTACCTGAGTCAGTCGGCTCTACAGGAGAAGGGGTTGATTCTGTGGACAAAGGAAAGAAGCCAAGTAAGGATCAACCCTTGAATTGTCATTCATCCCCACAGCAGAGGGAAAGGGAGAAATGGGACAATGTGGATTGAGGAACACGTTATCCACCTCTAGTATCCACCTATTTGGAGCACCGCTAGAAAAAAGTGTCTTTCTGAAAGAACCACATGACCTTCAGGGTATTTCCCAAGGAACATTCCAAACAATAGCCATAGAGGAAGACACCAGGCAGGAAAGAACATGGGGCTTCCCACCTGCTCTTCTACTGAGGCCCACATTACCTGGGACAGTTGGTTCTATGGGAGAAGGTGTTGGTTCTGTTGGGAAAGAAAAGAAGCCAAGTAAGGATCAGCCATCCAACAGAAGGGACCTGACTCTTCATTGTCCAGGTCTCCTTGAAAGTTAGTGAAAAATGGAAGCTGAAGTGGACTGACTGGAAATTAGGAACCACGTGGCCTTCAAGATATATCCCACATGCCATCCCAGAGAACAGCCATAGAGGTAGACACCAGGCAGGAAAGAACATGGGGCTTCCCACCTGGTCTTCTCCTGAGGCCCACATTACCTGGGACAGTTGGTTCTATGGGAGAAGGTGTTGGTTCTGTTGGGAAAGAAAAGAAGCCAAGTAAGGATCAGCCATCCAACAGAAGGGACCTGACTCTTCATTGTCCAGGTCTCCTTGAAAGTTAGTGAAAAATGGAAGCTGAAGTGGACTGACTGGAAATTAGGAACCACGTGGCCTTCAAGATATATCCCACATGCCATCCCAGAGAACAGCCATAGAGGTAGACACCAGGCAGGAAAGAACATGGGGCTTCCCACCTGGTCTTCTCCTGAGGCCCACATTACCTGGGACAGGTGGTTCTATGGGAGAAGGTGTTGGTTCTGTTGGGAAAGAAAAGAAGCCAAGTAAGGATCAGCCATCCAACAGAAGGGACCTGACTCTTCATTGTCCAGGTCTCCTTGAAAGTTAGTGAAAAATGGAAGCTGAAGTGGACTGACTGGAAATTAGGAACCACGTGGCCTTCAAGATATATCCCACATGCCATCCCAGAGAACAGCCATAGAGGTAGACACCAGGCAGGAAAGAACATGGGTCTTCCCACCTGGTCTTCTCCTGAGGCCCACATTACCTGAGACAGGTGGCTCTACAGGAGAAGGTGTTGGCTCTGGTGGACAAAGAAAGAAGCAAGATTAGAATCAACCCTCCAATTGTCAATCCCTTAGCAGAAGGAGAATTTGTGCTCTTAGCAAAGCAGCAACATAGATTGAGGAACACCTCATCCACCACAACATGCCCCTACTTGGTGCATCCTTTTAAAAGGTTGGTCTCCTTAGGACTTTCACTTTCTGAAGAAACCACATGACCTTCAGGGTATTTGGGAAGTGGCATCCTGAAGGACAGCCATAGTAGACATTAGCCCATAGGGGTATATACTAGGTAGAAAGGAACATGTGGCTTCTGCCTGGTCTTCTCCTCAGTGCCAGCATTACCTGAGTCAGTCGGCTCTACGGGAGAAGGTGATCGTTCTTTTGGAGAAAGAAAAGAAGCCAAGTTAGGATCAACCCTCCAATTGCTATTCATCCCCACAGCAGAGGGAAATGAGTGTACTTAGACATGGAGCAACATGAATTGAGGACCACCTTATCCACCCCCTAATATCCACTTATTTGGAGACCCACTAGAAAAAAATGGTCCCCTAGGACATTGTGCTTCCCGAAAGAACCACATGACCTTCAGGGTATTTCCCAAGAACTGTTCCAAAGAACAGCCGTAGGGGTAGACACCGGGCAGGAAAGAACATGGTGCTTCTGTCCAGTCTTCTCCTGATAGGCTGTGTTACCTGAGACAGTTGACTCCTCAGAAGAAGGTGTTGGTTCTGTTGGAGACAGAAAAGAAGCCAACTTAGGATTAACCCACCAATTGTCTTCATCCATTAGTAGAAAGAGAGTGTGTGTTCTTAACAAGGTAGTAACATGGATTAAGGAAACACTCTTTTGACCTGTAATCTCCATCTATTTTGTCCGTCACTGGGAAATTGGGTGGTTTCAGGAATGTCCTTCAAACATTGTCATTAAAATACATTTGAGGGGCAGAATTACCTGGGGTACTGGGCTCCACAGGTGTAGGTGTAGGTTTTGGTTCTGGTGAACAAAAGAAACAGTTCAAGTTATGAGCAACACTTTTATTGACATTCTCCACTTTAGCTGGGGAAGGGCGCATTGGTTGAGGAAACCTTAGGCACTACCCAGCTTGAATTCCTGAACTGATTCTGAAGCTCTGTCAAAGGTGGGGGGGGGACACTGCAGGAATGTCATTGGGTGAAAGATTTGAGGGGACAATTGGAGAATGGATCTGCTCTGGTTTTGAGGAGATTCACATAAGGTGGGAGAGTTCAGACAGACAGTGGAGTCTACAGGGATGGTAGTTATCCATGTAAAAAACATGAATGTTCATTTTTTTATTTCCTCTGAACTGTGTTTTGCACACACAAAGGAACACCGACCTCCAGTATAGGAAATGGGAAGGGAAAGCCAAGCATTTATATTACAATTCCATGTGTGCAGCCAGTAGCACAACATCACTGATCTGTGATCATCAAGCACAATTCATTGCACAGAGGTAGAAGGACAATTGCTGCTTCTAAGAGGGGGAGAAACTCAATCTGACAAAATGTTTGGACTCTCCTGTCTTACAATTCCTCACAACATTCAAGGAGTACCTTGACAAAAACTAGGAAATTGCCATAGAAGATACCAGAAAGGTGCAATTGCTCCCCTTACTGTGTTCCAAACAAGACACAGGAGAGATGAAGGTGTGGGAGGTGCTGCATGCTAGTGAGAAGGGGAACTAAAGAGGTGTTTTCACTGAGATCTGATTGCTTGTCCTGTTAACACTGGTTGGAATGCACCCAACTCCCACCACAGCTCTACTCACCACAAACGGTATCCTTTTTCCAGTCCCCGAGGTCTGCCCCGTTCACTTCACATGCGGCGGCATACGCTTCCAGACTGTTGCACAACTGCTCTTTGTCTCCCCCGGTAGCACACTGGTCATACACACAGCTTTCAAAGTACAGCTGAGGAGGGATGCTGCCATGGCACTCGGTAAAAGGCCCGTTTGAGGACAGAATTACTTCGCACAAATCTTCAAAAACTGCCTCTTGCACAGGGTCACAGGGGGTTGGAACTACTGGTGAACAACTAGGGATAGAAAAAAGCTGACAGTGAAGCATCTTTTATTTGGATGCAGAAAAAAAAATGTGTGTGATAGCTTTTGCCTCAGTTAGCCCACTCATTCTAGTGCTAGGAGGGTGCAAGTACTGAAGAATTTAATGAAGAACGACCTGTGTTCCATCCAAACATTACATTTTGGGATTTCCTTCCTTCTGTCATGCACAGATGAGTTTCCTGTCAGTGTAAGGATACTGCACAGGGTATCCAGCTAGCTGTCTAATTCTGACTTCACAATCCAAATCCAAGAACACAATACGGAATATGTGCTGGACCCCGGAAAACACCTTGTTCACAGTCACTTGCCTCCAAGCGTCATCTTCCACTCTCCAGCTGTTGCCAAATTTGTTGGCATCGGTCTCCAGCATCCCATCTGGCTGTTGGAAATCATCCAGCTGGCTGCCCGAGTAGGTGCCGCACAGCCCACAGAGGTGTCCCTTGTATCTCTCACTGACTTCGATAAAGAGCTGGTGATCCCCATCAAACTTCACCCGAAAGCCTATGTTGCTATCAACAACCACATACGGAAGCTGTTCTTCCACCTGAATGTTGGGCTGTAGCCTCAGAGGAAGATCAACTTTGGCTCCATTCACCTGCAAAAAGGGAAAAGGTGAGTCTGCATCTATTCATGGACAACTTTTCTGGGAGGACTGCTAAATATGCAGGGAGAACCCCAGAGATTTGTCTGGGTTGGCCACTTGCCCTTGCACAATTCCTCAGGGTGTTATACTCACGTAGACCTCTTTGTTCTTCCTCAGAGCCACGTGGATGTTTCTCAGCGAGATGGCCACTGAGTTGAGAGCTGTCCAGTGTGGGCTGGAGCGATGTTCATTCCGAGTGGTCACAGAGAACTGCTCGGAGGAGTTGCTGCAGATTTGCACTGCAGTGTAATTGCACCCACCCTGGAAGTGGTAGAGTCGCCCATCGAAGGTGACATAGTGTGGGTCTCCATAGATGTGACAGGTGGCCTTGTCTGCAATGTAGCAGCCCAGGATGCCATTCTGCACTTTACAGACTTGGTCTTTTTTGCAACTGTCTGAGGTGCAGGACAAGGTGCCATTTTCTGCACAGCGGCATCGGCCGACGCAATCCGGTTTCCAGAACGTCTCTCCTTTCTGTTGGAGAGAAGACAAAAAAAAAAGGTGAGGACCCAGCACTGCTGTGCAAATTACTCCAGACTCTGTTATTGCCCTAGAGGTTCTATGGGAACAAACCTCATAATATTGATCTCCATCGACACAGCCGCAATCCTCCTGTGGCACACACTGTGCTCCGCTGAAGACAAAACCTTCATCGCATTCGCATCCCTCCACGCAAGGCTTGGTGCAGTTCCACGGAGCGAGAGGATTGGAACACGTGGCGGGACAGGAAGTGGCGCACACGTTGTAATGGCTATGATCGTCACAAGGGATTTCTAGAAAAGAAAGTAGGAACCATACAGAAAGTGAGGAATGCTTCCCAAGGACACACTCAATGTGAGGTTAATTGTTCATCTTTTAGAGTATTATCAGTGGATACTCACTGCAGGAAGTGGCATTTCTCCAGTCGGGAAGCAGCAAGCCAACTCTTTGGCAGGCATCAGCGTACGCCTCCAAAGCACTACACAAGGCCTCATGGGACCCATTCAGTTCACACAGATCAAAGATGCAACTCTGGAAGAAGCTGTTGGGGTTGATTGCAGAATGGCAAGCTGCCAAGGGTCCCTGGCTGCTGGTAAGTTGTCCGCAGTACGCCTCTGACTCATAGAGATTTTTCAGGTCTGAGGGACAAGTTTCTGGTTCTGGTGGGCCTTTACAGTTGGGTGGGTCGTACTCTGCATTAGGAACCTGCCAGCTGTTTCCTAGCTCGTTGGAATTCTTGGCTTGCTCTCCATTGGGCATCATGTTGTCATCCTGCCAGCGGTTGTTGAAGTTCCCACACATGCCACAGGTCTTGTTGAAGAAGTTAGTGGGGACCCTGATTTCCACCGAGTGATCTGTGTCGTAAGAGACAATCAGCCCGAAATCCGTTTCTAGGGTCACATAGCGTCCATTGATGTCCACTCTCAGGGCGTTGTTTAGCTTGCGCACAGAAAGCCTTGTAAGCACTTTGTTCACCTAGGAGGATTCAGACACAAATTGTAATTATATTTCCCAAGAAATGAACCGTCTCAGAATTATCAGGATGGGCTCCCCATTATTAAGTTCCCCTATAGAAGCACTGACTCTGACTATAATTTCAAGCGAGAGAAAAGAAGTATCATAGAGAATAAATCAAACAATGAAAAGATAAAAAAAATATGGTACCCTGCTACCAATCAAAGGAGAGGCTATTACTATTTCATTCACACAAGTTCCAATCGAAAACCGATTGGCAGAGAATGTAGCTTCCTTCTAATTCAAACCACAAGTAGGAATTTCATTGGGTTACCAGCACTTGATTCTTGTGTCCTTTGAGAATCTCAATCCGCTGCCCGTAAACCTCCACCAGCACCCGCTGAACGTAGGAGACGGAGGGATTCCCACGGTGTTCGTTCTTGGCCTCCACATTAAAGTAGGGCAGCCCCGTCTCATTGGAGCAGACCTTGGCCAGGGTGTAAGTGCAGGTGCCCATGAAGTGGTGCGTCTTTTTGTCAAAGGTGTTGTAATGAGGGTCGTTGTGGATGCGGCAGACCCCATATGTATGTTTGTAGCAGTTTGGGACGCCATTTTCGACTCCACAGTAATAATGGTGAGGGCAGAAATCAGGAAAGCAGCTGAGTTGGCCACCTTGACTGGGGCAGATGCATCTGGTGCTGCAGGTGTCATCGGTCCAATAGCTGGAGCCCACTGGGTAGTGCTTACCCTGGTGCCAGCACCCACACTGATGGCTGGGCACACAGGTACCATTGTAGAGGAAGAACCCGGAGTCACAGACGCAGGCTTCTGTGCATGGCAGATTGCATGTGCCCGGAGCATTTGGGTCCTTGCAGCTGGATGGACAGGCATTGGCGCAAGGCTCATAGTGGCTGTTGGGTTTGCAATGAATGGCTGCAGGAGGCAAGGGGATTTACATTAGTTCAGTGCCGAAGGCTGAGTCACATAGGGCACATCACATTCCTCAGTCTTTAGGATTCCAGCCAGGTATTTAAGATAGGGGTCTCCAGGACTGTGGCCTACTCGAAATTATGCTGTGTGGCTGGTGGGCCAGGAAGCACACCTAGCTTGACTTGCATGACTGGTGGGTCCATGACCATGCATACGTGTGCGCAGTTCAACTTACACAGTTTGAGCTACGCGTACATGTGCTGGTTTGCTGGCCCACCGCTTGCACAAGATTAGCTGCTCACGCTTATTGGAAAAGCAGCTCATTTGCTCAAGGGGCCCGATTCCCCTCCCCCCCACCCAAGACATGCCATCCAGGTACAAAGGTTTGGAATGGCTGATTTAGGATAGTTGCCTCCCAGGAAAAGCTGGAGTTGTAGACAGTGTGTCTCTAAGAGAGAATGTAGTAGTATATGTGTCTCTGTGAAAGTGACTGATTTTCTTCAAAGAGACAGAGAAAACACCTGCCACTTTCAGCTGATTCCCAGATTTTCCCATTTACATAGATATTTCCCAATCCTCAAGGCCGACCAGAGGCATTGCTGCCACGACACTTACGGCAGAAGGTGATGTTCCGCCAGGGGTCAATGGCAACTCCCAGGGACTGGCAGGCATCTGCGTAGGATTGCAAGCTCCTGCAGAGGGAGCCTGGATCTAAGTGCAGGGCGCACTGATCATAAAGGCAGCTCTCAAAATACCCCGTTGGATCCAAGACGCTATGACACTGTCTGAATGGTCCATTGACATCCATTAGGCGTCCACAGAAATCGCTGCTCTTGGCTGTGTCCTTCTCATCCTCTGTGCAGATAGGAGTGTGGCCTGAGGAACAACTGGAAAGAAAAGCCACAACTTGGTTCAGTACCCTACAATTTCCATCCTGGACAAACCCACCACTTGGCAATTTAAACTACAAACCTGCTGAGGTTGGCCACCTGCCAGCTGTTGCCCAAGCTTGTGGAGTCAGGCTCTTGTTCCCCATCAGGGTTGAGGAAATCGTCAGAAGGATCCCCGTTGTAGTTTCCGCACATGCCGCAGACCTCACCCTCGTACGTGCTAAGGAGGGACACTTCCACTTGGTGGTCTCCATCAAACTTGACTCTCAATCCAAAATCTGTAGAAACCACTGTGTAGAAGCCACTGGGCAAGATCTTCACACCTCGTATTGGAATGGAGGGGACCACAACTGGCTCCCCATCGACCTAGAAGGAGATTCAGGCATTAATGTAGGGGACGCGGGAACAACAAGTGCTCTTTCGTACCCCAACATAGGAGCAAATGTGTCCTTCAGCAGCAGCAGCAGCTCCACGTACCGTAACTCTTCCTCCCTTTCCCAGGTTGATCCGGATGCCAAAGACATCAACATCCACACTCTCAACATAGGAGACGTGCGTGTTGCCCCCTCGATGCTCATTGCTTGCTTCCACGTTGAAGTAGGGAAGCAGAGAGTTGTTCGGGTTACAAAGTTGGGAGAGAGTATAGGTGCAGTTGCCCATGAAGTGGTGCGTCTGCTTGTCAAAAGTGTAATAATGAGGGTCACCCGACACCAGGCAGGACTCTGAAAAGAAGAAAGGGAGGTCAGACATGGGCCGGCGTGAGCTAGTTTGAAATTGAAATGAGCAGAGGATACACTTTTGAGAGGAGCAACAGAGTTTTTGGGTGCCTCCTTCAGTTTTATCTGCTTGACATGGTCCAAGGAACTTAAGTTTGCCTTGTACTTGACAACAATCCCTTCTCGCCCCAGTAGTATTGTAAGGCATAGCAGAATCCTGTGGCACATTGTTATCGGGTCTCGAGCACCATTTAACCAACTTTAAAGAATTTTGGAGTACCAGAGAAAGAGGTCACAGGAAGACAAGCTCTATCAGCTCTGGAATAAATACTCAGCTCATTAAAATCCCGCTTTTCTTCCCAGACATCAGGACTGTACGCCAAGCCAAAGACCCATCAGAAGAGGGGAAGTAGTCAAAATATCTGCTTCAACCTTAAAGGCACTTACCTTGGGTAGGAGGGGGTGGTCTCAGTGTGGGTGTAGATTCAGGGGGGATTGATGGCCATGCTGAAAAGGGAAATGGCATTTGTGTTTTCCTCGAAGATTGAGAAATGTGAAGGTTCATTAAAACACCACCAAGTCTCTCTGACCGATCTTGAATCCCACTTGGATTTGTGATCCAGATATTGGTTTGGTTAGGGGGCAAAGAGTAGAAGGAACCAATCTGGGTCGGTCAGTGGGACCAGAGGTCTTGTCTTCTGACCTTTTGGACTCTTGCTGGAGCCCAACTTCAGGGAACTTCTCTCTAGCAGATTGTGTGCTGTTCTGTGTGGTATTTCTAGTGCCCGTTGTAAGTGGCTTTGTAGATATTGATTGGGTTGCATTGATGGCTGGCTTTTAAGTCATTAGCTGTTGTTTGGTTGTGCTGCCCAGCCCTCCCCTTCTTAATACTTGATAGGCAGGTGGCAAATCAGTACTCCTGTTGATGGACGAGGGGCCTGTTTCCAAGGCTTCAATTACTTCCCTGGCTGTTTTTGTGCCTGCTCGTCCAACAATCTTAGTACTGGGTAGTGTCTCCTCATTCTCAAATACCACACACAGAACATCTCATACTCTGCTAGAGAGAAGTTCCCTCAAGATGGGCTCTGGCATGAGTCAAAAATTCTGAAGACAGAACCTCTCTGGTCCCAGTGACAGACCGAGACAGGATCCTGCAACATTATCCTGGGACAGGGACATTCATCTTAATTTGTGATAGGAACCATCTGTATTACGTGACCCAGCCTCTGAAACCATCCTTATGCTAATCCAGGTAGGATTTAAACCCTTGGAATAGGTTGCTAAGGATTTAGGTCCCTCCTTATTCACACTGGGGAAAACCCTGAATCATGGAACATGCCCAGAAATGTTTCTGTGATGTTATTCTTATTCAGTGCCTGGTGCCACTTCTGAGAAAGGCATAAACTGTGAAGTCTTACGCGGGCAATAACCGTCCTGTACAGAAATGTCATCCACGGCCATATCGCTGCGGAAGTCATCTCCCCGCATTCCTTCCAGCAGTATCTAGGAAGAGAAGGACATCTCCAGTCTTTTTCAAGTAGGGACAGTATGCCAGGATATCAGCCCGATGTTTGGTTATAAAGCTGCCACCCTTGGCCTTACCTTTACTCTGCCGTTGTGAACCACACTGAATTGTGCTGACTGCCAAATGTTGCCCTTGTTCCCTGTTTCAGACCAGACCAGCAAAGGTGATGCATCATCCAAGATGACATAAAAGCGCAGCGCCATCGTTTGGGCTACGCCATACATGTGATACCAGAAGCGAAAGCACAGGGGACCCCGAAGGTCACACGTGGAGCTGATCAAGTGTGCCACATCCCCAGGGTTGGCATCACTTCCATCCAGGTAAATGAAGTAACCCCCTAAAGAAAGAGACAGAGGTCAAACAACAGAGTTTCTCAGAGATGTGGAGAGACAATTCAGTCTGGTCCAAGCTGCTTGGGGTCTCTTGATGTTCCCCACAGTCTAGGACACAGAGCAGCTATCCTAGTCTGATGCCATGAACCATCAAAGACACAACCTAGCCTTCCATAGACCATGGCAAATGCTGCAGCCATTCTCTAACACAGGGGTCCCCAACCCCCATCCTCAACCCACTATCAGGTTGTTTTGAACCAGGCCGCACGAATGGCAGGCTGAAGGATGTGTGCGCATGCACAGCTCAACTTACACAAATGGTGGGATGGTACACATTCGTATGCAACTTGGGTGAGTGGCAGGCTGGCCCGCCATTCACACAGCCTGGTTCCCCTCTCCCTCCCCCCTTGCTGGGCCACCAAGCTGTAAAGGTTGGGGACCACTGCTCTTGTAAGTCTGTTGTCCTTGGCCTCTAGGTCCTACATCTACATTTTATCAGAAGGACTCCTTCATGGAAAGTGGCCCAGATGGGAGTGTAATTGTGGGACAATCCAAGAGCAGAGAGACGGCAACTGTTAAATATTCAGTTCTGCATATTTCAATCCTTATCTCGGAAGGCAGGAAAGGGAAGGCAGGCAGAAAACTGATGGACATGTCCAGGCAGAAGCTCAATAACCTTCATCTCCCAGCTCTTTGCACACCACCATCAGAGTTCTTCATTGATGAGGGACAGAAAATGCAACTCTGGTTGCCATTTTATTATTTTGGAATGTTTTAAAGAGAAACATTGTTGTATTTCTTGATTATGTTCCCATCTGGGGTCTTTTGCCCTTGTTTTCTTCTTGTGCACCACATACAGTCAGTGGACTGAGTTGGGTGCCACATAAGGAATAAAATAATTGTCCTCTCTTGGAGGTTCAAGAGTTGGGATTCCTACACTGAGCAGGTATTGAATTCCATCTGGCAAAGGGCTCTTTCCCGCTGTAGGATTCTACCGAAGAAGGACAAGAGGGAGGTTTTGTTCTTCTGGGAAGTTGGGAAGAACCGTTGTATCCCAGCCTCACCGCCAGTGGTGTGGTCAAAGAAGGGTCCTGTGTTCGGCGAGGGTGTTGGGCCTTTGTGTCGTCTCCAGTCAAAGCTGTCGGTGGATGATTGGCTCCAGGAACAGAAGTCCTTCTCAAAAGAGCAGGAGAAACCACAAGGGGGACCTAGGAACACAATAGAAAGGAGACCAGGGTGTGTCCTTGGAAGGAAGGTCTGGAAATCCTGAAAGGGCTGTGATTCCCTGCCAGCCCTGGAGGCAGCTGGCGACTCAGAGAGTTTTGCAGACTGAGAGTGAGAGAAACTCAAGCTGGCAAAATGAGGGGGCTGTTTTGGGCAGCCCTCATTGGCCAGAACTCTCCAGAACTGCACAAGCAACGTTTCCACAAAGACAAAATACACGTGGGATGATGCGATAAAGTAATTGGCTCCGTGGACTTTCAGCTAAGGAAATTGGTCCCACGGCATTTCGCTCTCCCTAGTAAACATGAATCAGTGGCAAGGTCTCAACAAGAAAGTCATTGTGTGAAAATGGGAGAAGACAATTGGTGAAGGGATCTGCTCTGGCTTTGAGCAGACTCGCCTGGGTTGGGAGGTTTCAGACCAACAGTGGAATGGTAGCTATCTATCTTAAAAAGAGAATTGTCATGAAAGATTTCCTATCAGTTGTATTCTACAAACATGCAGAAATGTGGACAGACGGTACAGGAAATGGGAAGAGAAACCACAAGTTTTGTATTGTGTTTCCATCGGTCCATTCAGGAACCCATAATCCTGATCTGTGATTGTCCAGTACAATTCATTGCACAGACGTGGAAGGACAATGCTGCCTGTTAGAAGGGGAGGAAACCAAATCTGATAAAATGTTTGACCTCTCCAGTCTTACAATTCCACACGATATGCAAAGAGGACCTTGACAAAGACTAGGGAACGGACAAGTAAAACACCATGAAGGAGCAACTGCTGGCTCTGCTTTGTTCCAAGCAGAACGTGGGAGAAAGGAAAGGACTCTCCCAAATGCTCACCTGTGCCGGAGGTGCTGCCCGCTGGTGAGAAAGGGATCTAGGCACAGGTGAAGTGCCCTCACTGACATCTGATTGTTTGCCCCTATTGACACATTCAGGCTGGCTAGAAGATACTCAGGTCCCACCACAGCTCTACTCACCACAAACGGTATCCTTTTTCCAGTCCCCGAGGTCTGCCCCGTTCACTTCGCATGCGGCGGCATACGCTTCCAGACTGTTGCACAACTGCTCTTTGTCTCCCCCGGTAGCACACAGGTCATACACACAGCTTTCAAAGTACAGCTGAGGAGGGATGCTGCCATGGCACTCGGTGAAAGGCCCGTTTGAGGACAGAATTACTTCGCACAAATCTTCAAAAACTGCCTCTTGCACAGGGTCACAGGGGGTTGGAACTACTGGTGAGCAGCTAGAGACAGAAAAAAAAGCTGACAGTGAAGCATCTTTTATTTGGATGCAGAAAGAGAAATGTGTGTGATAGCTTTTGCCTCAGTTAGCCCACTCATTCTAGCGCTAGGAGGGTGCAAGTACTGAAGAATTTAATGAGGAATGACCTGTGTTCCTTTAAACACTACATTTTGGGCTTTCCTTCCTTCTGTCATGCACAGATGAGTTTCCTGTCAGTGTAAGGATACTGCACAGGGTATCCAGCTGGCTGTCTAATTCTGACTTCACAATCCAAATCCAAGAACACAATACGGAATATGTGGTGGACCCCGGAAAACTCCTTGTTCACAGTCACTTGCCTCCAAGCGTCATCTTCCACTCTCCAGCTGTTGCCAAATTTGTTGGCATCGGTCTCCAGCATCCCATCTGGCTGTTGGAAATCATCCAGCTGGCTGCCCGAGTAGGTGCCGCACAGCCCACAGAGGTGTCCCTTGTATCTCTCACTGACTTCGATAAAGAGCTGGTGATCCCCATCAAACTTCACCCGAAAGCCGAGGGGGCTGTCAACAACCACATAGGGAAACTGTTCCTCCACCTGAATGTCGGGCTGTAGCCTCAGAGGAAGATCAACCTTGGCTCCATTCACCTGCAGAAGGAAAAAAGGTCAGCCTAGGGATTGTCCTGCAGTTGGATTTCTGGCCTTCCTGGGCTGCCACCTGTCCCATGTCTGGTTTCACTAAATTAGCACCATCCTCATACTTTAGCAACATAGCACCATCCATATGACTTTGGACAACATTTTTGGGGGGACTGCCAAATATGCAGGGAGAACCCCAGAGATTCGTCCGGGTTGATCACTTGCCCTTGCACAATTCCTCAGGGTGTTATACTCACGTAGACCTCTTTGTTCTTCCTCAGAGCCAAGTGGATGTTTCTCAGTGAGATGGCCACTGAGTTGAGAGCCGTCCAGTGCGGGCTAGAGCGATGTTCATTCCGAGTGGTCACAGAGAACTGCTCGGAGGAGTTGCTGCAGATTTGCACTGCAGTGTAATTGCACCCACCCTGGAAGTGGTAGAGTCGCCCATCGAAAGTGACATAGTGTGGGTCTCCATAGATGTGACAGATGGCCTTGTCTGCAATGTGGCAGCCCAGGATGCCATTCTGCACTTTACAGACTTGGTCTTTTCTGCATCTGTCTGAGGTGCACAACAAGGTGCCATTTTCTGCACAGCGGCATCGGCCGACGCAATCCGGTTGCCAGAACGTCTCTCCTTTCTGTTGGAGAGAAGACAAAAAAAAAAGGTGAGGACCCAGCACTGCTGTGCAAATTACTCCAGACTCTGTTATTGCCCCAGAGGTTCTATGGGAACAAACCTCATAATATTGATCTCCATCGACACAGCCGCAATCCTCCCGTGGCACACACTGTGCTCCGCTGAAGACAAAACCTTCATCGCATTCGCATCCCTCCACGCAAGGCTTGGTGCAGTTCCATGGAGCGAGTGGATTGGAACACGTGGCGGGACAGGAAGTGGCGCACACGTTGTAATGGCTATGATCGTCACAAGGGATTTCTAGAAAAGAAAGTAGGAACCATACAGAAAGTGAGGAATGCCTCCCAAGGACACACTCAATGTGAGGTTAATTGCTCATCTTTTAGAGTATTATCAGTGGATACTCACTGCAGGAAGTGGCATTCCTCCAGTCGAGAAGCAGCAAGCCAACTCTTTGGCAGGCATCAGCGTACGCCTCCAAAGCACTACACAAGGCCTCATGGGACCCATTCAGTTCACACAGATCAAAGATGCAACTCTGGAAGAAGCTGTTGGGGTTGATTGCAGAATGGCAAGCTGCCAAGGGTCCCTGACTACTGGTAAGTTGTCCGCAGTACGCCTCTGACTTATAGAGATTTTTCAGGTCTGAGGGACAAGGTTCTGGTTCTTGTGGGCCTTTACAGTTGGGTGGGTCGTACTCTGCATTAGGAACCTGCCAGCTGTTTCCCAGCTCGTTGGAATTCTTGGCTTGCTCTCCATTGGGCATCATGTTGTCATCCTGCCAGCGGTTGTTGAAGTTCCCACACATGCCACAGGTCTTGTTGAAGAAGTTAGTGGGGACCCTGATTTCCACCGAGTGATCTGTGTCGTAAGAGACAATCAGCCCGAAATCCGTTTCTAGGGTCACATAGCGTCCATTGATGTCCACTCTCAGGGTGTTCTTTAGCTTGCGCACAGAAAGCCTTGTAAGCACTTTGTTCACCTAGGAGGATTCAGACACAAATTGTAATTATATTTCCCAAGAAATGAACCGTCTTAGGATTATCAGGATGGGCTCCCCATTATTAAGTTCCCCTATAGAAGCACTGACTCTGACTATACTTTCAAGCGAGAGAAAAGAAGTATCATAGAGAATAAATCAAACAATGAAAAGATAAAAAAAATATGGTACCCTGCTACCAATCAAAGGAGAGGCTATTACTATTTCATTCACACAAGTTCCAATTGAAAACCGATTGGCAGAGAATGTAGCTTCCTTCTAATTCAAACCAAAGTAGGAATTTCATTGGGTTACCAGCACTTGATTCTTGTGTCCTTTGAGAATCTCAATCCGCTGCCCGTAAACCTCCACCAGCACCCGCTGAACGTAGGAGACGGAGGGATTCCCACGGTGTTCGTTCTTGGCCTCCACGTTAAAGTAGGGCAGCCCCGTCTCATTGGAGCAGACCTTGGCCAGGGTGTAGGTGCAGGTGCCCATGAAGTGGTGCGTCTTTTTGTCAAAGGTGTTGTAATGAGGGTCGTTGTGGATGCGGCAGACCCCATATGTATGTTTGTAGCAGTTTGGGACACCATTTTCGACTCCACAGTAATAATGGTGAGGGCAGGAATCAGGAAAGCAGCTGAGTTGGCCACCTTGACTGGGGCAGGCGCATCTGGTGCTGCAGGTGTCGTCGGTCCAATAGCCGGAGCCCACTGGGTAGTGCTTACCCTGGTGCCAGCACCCACACTGATGGCTGGGCACACAGGTACCATTGTAAAGGAAGAACCCGGAGTCACAGACGCAGGCTTCCGTGCACGTCAGATTGCATGTGCCCGGAGCACTTGGGTTCTTGCAGGTGGATGGACAGGCATTGGCGCAAGGCTCATAGTGGCTGTTGGGTTTGCAATGAATGGCTGCAGGAGGTAAGGGGATCTCCATTAGCTCAGTGACGAAGGCTCAGTCACATAGGGCAGATCACATTCCTCAGTCTTTATGATTCCAGCCAAGTATTTAAGATAGGGGTCTCCAGGACTGTGGCCTACTTGGAATTATGCTGTGTGGCTGGTGGGGCAGGAAGCACACCTAGCTTGACTTGCATGACTGGTGGGTCCATGACCATGCATACGTGTGCGCAGTTCAACTTACACAGTTTGAGCTACGCGTACATGTGCTGGTTTGCTGGCCCACCGCTTGCACAAAATTTAGCTGCTCACGCTTATTGGAAAAGCAGCTCATTTGCTCAAGGGGCCCGGTTCCCCTCCTCTCCCCAAGACATGCCATCAAGGTACAAAGGTTTGGAATGGCTGATTTAGGATAGTTGCCTTCCAGGAAAAGCTGGAGTTGTAGACAGTGTGTCTCTAAAAGAGAATGTAGTAGTATATGTGTCTCTGTGAAAGTGACTGATTTTCTTCAAAGAGACAGAGAAAACACCCTGCCACTTTCAGCTGATTCCCAGATTTTCCCATTTACATAGATGTTTCTCAATCCTCAAGGGTGACCAGAGGCATTGCTGCCATGACACTTACGGCAGAAGGTGGCATTCCGCCAGGGGTCGATGGCAACTCCCAGGGACTGGCAGGCATCTGCGTAGGATTGCAAGCTCCTGCAGAGGGAGCCTGGATCTAAGTGCAGGGCGCACTGATCATAAAGGCAGCTCTCAAAATACCCCGTTGGATCCAAGACGCTATGACACTGTCTGAATGGTCCATTGACATCCATTAGGCGTCCACAGAAATCGCTGCTCTTGGCTGTGTCCTTCTCATCCTCTGTGCAGGTAGGAGTGTGGCCTGAGGAACAACTGGAAAGAAAAGCCACAACTTGGTTCAGTACCCTACAATCTCCATCCTGGACAAACCCACCACTTGGCAATTTAAACTACAAACCTGCTGAGGTTGGCCACCTGCCAGCTGTTGCCCAAGCTTGTGGAGTCAGGCTCTTGTTCCCCATCAGGGTTGAGGAAATCGTCAAAAGGATCCCCGTTGTAGTTTCCGCACATGCCGCAGACCTCACCCTTGTACGTGCTAAGGAGGGACACTTCCACTTGGTGGTCTCCGTCAAACTTGACTCTCAGTCCAAAATCTGTAGAAACCACTGTGTAGAAGCCACTGGGCAAGATCTTCACACCTCGTATTGGAATGGAGGGGACCACAACTGGCTCCCCATCGACCTAGAAGGAGATTCAGTCATTAATGTAGGGGACTCGGGAACAACAAGTGCTCTTTTGTACCCCAACATAGGAGCAAATGTGTCCTTCAGCAGCAGCAGCAGCTCCACGTACCGTAACTCTTCCTCCCTTTCCCAGGTTGATCCGGATGCCAAAGACATCAACATCCACACTCTCAACATAGGAGACGTGCGTGTTGCCCCCTCGATGCTCGTTGCTTGCTTCCACGTTAAAATAGGGGAGCAGAGAGTTGTTCCGGTCACACAGTTGGGAGAGAGTATAGGTGCAGTTGCCCATGAAGTGGTGCGTCTGCTTGTCAAAAGTGTAATAATGAGGGTCACCTGACACCAGGCAGGACTCTGGAAAGAAGAAAGGGAGGTCAGACATGGGCCGGCGTGAGCTAGTTTGAAATTGAAATGAGCAGAGGATACACTTTTGAGAGGAGCAACAGAGTTTTTGGGTGCCTCCTTCAGTTTTAGCAGCTTGATATGGTCCAAGGAACTTCAACCTTGCCTTGTGCTTGACAACAGTTAATTTCCTGAACTTCTCCTCCTCCTATCCATTGAGGCTGCAAGCCAATGCAAAGACTCATTGGAAGAAGGGAAGTGGACAATATATCTGGTTCAACCTTGAAGGGACTCACCTGGGGTGTGTGGTGGTGTCTGGGTGGTTGTAGATTCAGTGGTGGTTGATATCCATGCTGGAAATAGAAATGACATTTGCATTTTTCTCTAAGACTGAGATGTACATCTCAATGTAATAAACATGACTTCCGGTTTAGTCCTGGAACAGTTTTGAGCTTGATACTCCTATGGTCAGGAGTTGTCTCTTCTGCTCTCTCCATGCCCTCCAACCATCTTCCTTTCTAACTGAGGTAGTTTTTGCAATGCTTCGTGCTACACATCCCTAGTTATGCATGCTGGGGAAAATAATGTAATTAAGGAAATTGATGAGTGATGGTGGAAGGGTTACTGCTCAGGAGTGGAATAAGTCTGTCTGCCATGGTAAACATGGACCTCTTGTGTTCAGCAGTGTTTCTCTAGAAAAGAGTTAGGTAATTCTGATCTCACATCCAACAACCAGAGGCTCATGTGCCCTGCAGACCATCCCTGCAGCCACAAAAGTGGGGTGGCAGGCAGTCCTACCTTTAAATAGGACTACAGGTAGTTCTTACACCTGGTCACTTAGTAGTAACTGATCAAGATTTCAAGGGACCCCCCTGAAAGACTACTTATGATCTGGTTTCAAATTTAAAAGCACCCCTGCAGTCATTCATTTATGACTGAGTGCTGAGATGTTGCAGCACCCCCCTGCCTATCTGCCCCCCCCCAACCATCCTGCCACGTCCCTGAAAACCTTCAGCTTCCTTTCCGCCCAGCTGGGCCCCGCTATCTCTTCCACATGTCCTTCACCCATCTTTTAAAGATTTTAAAGCTCTTTTAAAGATTTCTGGAGCTTGCATTGGGGAGGGAGGGAAAGCTGCTCCCTCTCTTTACATTCATGGGTGACATGATGCAGTTCCTGAAGAGGCTGCCAGAAAAGGTCTCTTGGAAGCAGCCGCTTCCCCAGAAATGCTCCAAAAGAGGGAGCTGCTTTTGGGATTGTGCAGTGGGGCCAGGGACACCAGAGGGGTGCAGCAGCCTGACCTCCTTCACCAATTTGCCCTCCGGAGATCTTCAAAAGATAAGTGTGTGATGAACTGCATTGTCTCTTAACAACTACAGCAGGGACAGCAGAGATGGGGATGATTAAGTCAGGCAATCATGTGGCCATCTCGCTCAGTGACCATTACGACTTGTGACCATAATGGACAGGCTCCAATGCAGTTGTGACTCAAGGACTACCTGCAAAGTAGCCATGCGGTGAGAACTGTGGGGTCCTCGGTGCTCTCTGAACTTGGTGACTGTCTTGCACACTTATCATGACCCAACTAGATAACATCATCAGTGCCTGAAGGGAGAAGCGTTTGCAGAATGGAGGAGGAGAAGGGGAGGAGGAAAAATACAGTAGGGTCCTTGGTGCTCTCTGAGCTTGGTGGTCTTCTTGTAGACATTTCATGGGCCAACTAGAGAACATCATTCATGGTAGAAGGGAGGGAAGTCTGGGGGAGGAGGAGGAGGAGGAAAAATACAGTGGGATCCTTGGTGCTCTCTGAGCTTGATGGTCTTCTTGTAGACATTTCAGAGAACTAGAGAACATCATTCGTGGTAGGCCAACTAGAGAACATCATTTGTGGTAGGTCTGGGGGAAGAGGAGAAGAAGGAGGGGTGGAGGAGGAGGGGTAGCAGAGGAGGAGGGAGAGGAGGAAGAAGGAGGAGGAGAAGGGGAGGGGGAGGAGGAGGGGAGCAGGAAGGAGGAAGAGGGGGAGGGGGAGGGAAGGGGGAGGGGGAGGAGGAAGAAGAAAAAGGAGGAGGAGAAGAAGAAGAGGAGAAGGAGGAGGAGGGAGGAGGGAGGAGAAGGAGGGGAGGGGGAGGGGGAGGGGAGGAGGGGGAGGAAGAGGAGAGAGGGAGGAGGAGGGGAAGAAGAAGGAGGAGGAGGAGGGGAGGGGAAGAGGAAGAAGGAGGAGGAGGAGACTGTGGAGTCCTTGGTGCTCTCTGAGCTTGGCTGTTTTCTTGTAGACCTTTCAGTATCCAAATTAGGTAACATTATCAGTACTAACACCCATGATGTTACCTAGTTTGGGTAATGAAACACCTGAACTACAAATATTCTCCTTTATTAGTGGAGATGATGGGCCATTTTTCAAAATGGCCTTATGACTCAGAGCACCTGTGCAACCTGTTGAACTCTGATTAAACTCAGAACATTCCCTGTGCAGGAGGAAGAGGTGGCGAGCAACTTGCTGACAGTACAGGGAAGCAGAACCCTTTGTCTCTTCTGCTCCAGGAAATTGCCCAAGCTTATCGAGAAGATATTATAGGGGTTAAAATTTAACTTCCCAATCAAACGCTTCAGCAGTTGTCCCAGATAGCAAAATCCAGCCACTGTCACCGATTGCGGCTGATTATAACTTAAGCAAGACATCATTAAAATCCTGCTGATTAATGGTGGGGTGAGGTCCGGCGACAGAAGTTGGCAATTGTGTTAACTGCCCTTGTCATCCAAAGAAGGACGGCTGCACACAGGGATCTCCCTGGAAGAAGAAGTGGCTGCTTGTCTTGTGCATCTCAGGGGCCGTAGAGTAAGGGTGTCAAACTCGCAATGTCACGCGACGTGTCGCGACCTATCGTGACTTTTCCCCCATTGCCGGCAAAAGGGCGGGCGCGGTTTTGGCATGACGTATCCGGCCTGTGGGCCGGCAGTTTGACAGCCCTGCCGTAGAGGGTCATGAGTGGTGCTCATAGTCTAATGGGTGGGTCTGCCAAGGGAGGCTGATTCAAGGAAAGGAGCTCTGATTTTCATCAGCCATGGGGTGATTTGGGGCACTGCTCTCATCCCTCTTTAAAAGCCCATAATGGCTGATGCCAGAAGGAAAAAAGGCCCATGTTTTCTCAGATCACTTCCGGTCTGCAGGAGCTTCAGGGCAGGTCCTGCCCCATACAGGAAGTCCTTGACTTACAACTGTTCGTTCAACTACTGCTTGAAGTTACAACAACCAATTATTCCTATTGAGATTTATACTTTTCCAAAAGGCAACTGGACTTCCTTGGTTTTTTAAGAGCCGTATGGTGCAGAGCACAGTATTGCAGGCTGACTCTGCCCACTGCCAGGAGTTCGATCCTGACGGTGCTCAAGGTGGACTCAGCCGTCCGTCCTTCCGAGGTTGGTAAAACGAGGACCCAGATTGTTGGGGTTAACATGCTGACATTTGTAAACTGCTCAGAGAGGGCTGCCAAGTGCGACGGAGCGGTATATAAGTCTAAGCGCTGTTGCAATTTTTTCTTTGGAACGTTTTGCTTCTGGTGCAAGAAGCTTCTTTAGTTCTTCAGAACTAAAGAAGGTTCTTGGGCGAGAAGCCAGACATTTTCAAAGAAAAAGAAACAAGCAAGAAAGTCCAGTTGCCTTTTGGAAAAAGCACTTTTGGGACTTTTATGCCGCTCCTTGTCTTCAGAAACGTTTCTGGTCCTGTCAGTCTGAAAAAGCTTCTGGTCTTTAGCTGTCACGCTGGTTAATTAAATAAATGTCCTCCTTGATTTCCTGCCTGGTCATCTGGCTGTGGGTGTTTCTGCTGTATCTTAGGAGATAATCCGCGTGGTTTGGCGCTTGCGCATGGGAAAAAGAGTCCTGTGGGATTTTAATATCACGATATTATCTGACAGAGGGGCAACTACTTCAGAACAATGTTAGAACTGAAGAAGCGTCTTGGATGAGGAGCAAAAAGTCCTCAAAAAGAAAAACCAAGAAAGTCCAAGCATGACCTAGATCAGTGGTTCTCAACCTTTTTAATGCCGCGACCCCCAACGGTCGTAAGTCGAGGACTACTCAACCGGTCGTAAGTTGAGGACTACTCAACTGGTGCAGCCCCGTTTGCAGACTGGGACTTTTGGCGGGCTCAGCAGGGCAGAGACAGCCTGGACAATTCCTATTGGCTTTGGAAAGCCAATAGAATTAGACTCTATTCAAGAGAGTCTCTTCTATTGGCTTTCAAAAGCCAGTAGAATAAAAGGGAGGAGCACAGCTAAGGAAAAGGGGGAAAAAAATGGCAGACTGCGTTGTTTGGCAACCCCCGTGAAATGGTTGTTCGACCCCAAATGGGGTCCCGACCCACAGGTTGAGAACCACTGGACTAGATGGTCGAGAATCTCCATAGCTACTACAAAATAACTTCTTCCTGGGTTCTGCACAGGAGCCCCGAGTATTTTGGAGTCTGGAGGGCCCCTGGCTTCTCTCCTGTGTGGAGAGACCTCGGATGGCTCCCTTCCTGCTTCCGTCCAGAAGCAGCTGTGGCTCGAAGACTCAGGACCTCTTCTGTGGCAATCCAAGATCAAATTCATGGGAGTGAGAGTGGAGTGAGAAACTGAGATGGGGAAGGAGTCACTTACTGCAAGGCCCCCTTCTGACCGCCACGTTGTCCACGGCTGTGTCCCCGTATTCTGTCAATCCCCGAATGGCATCGAAAGCCACCTGTGAAGAACGAAAGGAAGCCCAGTCAGAGCAAGGAAGATGCTGCGTCTGCATAGCCAGAGAGTGCTGTCCTATTCCTTCCTTCCTTCCTTCCTTCCTTCCTTCCTTCCTTCCTTCCTTCCTTCCTTCCTTCCTTCCTTCCTTCCTTCCTCCCTCCCTTCCTTCCTTCCCTCCCTCCTTCCTTTTCATTCCCCTTCCTTCCTTCCTGCCTTCCTTCTTTCCTTCCTTCCTTTCCTTCCTTCCTTCCTTCCTTCCTTCCTTCCTTCCTTCCTTCCTTCCTTCCTTCCTTCCTTCCTTCCTTCCTTCCTTCTATTCTTCTTTCCTTCCTTCCTTCCCTCCCTCCTCCTTCCTTCCTTTTCATTCCCCTTCCTTCCTTCCTTCCTTCCTTCCTTCCTTCCTTCCTCCTTCCTTCCTTCCTTCCTTCCATCCATCCATCTGTTCTTTCTTTCCCTTCCTTTTCATTCCCATCTTCCTTCCTTCCTCCCTCCCTCCCTCCTTCCTTCCTTTTCATTCACCTTCCTTCCTTCCTTCCTTCCTTCCTTCCTTCCTTCCATCCATCCATCCATCTGTTCTTCCTTTCCCTTCCTTTTCATTCCCATCTCCCTCTCTTCCTTCCTTCCTTCCTTCCTCCCTCCCTGCCTGCCTGCCTTTCCATTTCTGTAGCTGCCCATCTTAGTCAATTACTCTAGGCGGCTTACAATTAACGTGCTTTAATTTTGGTTGGTCTATGAATTAGGCCCGTTTCTCTTGCAGTTTTTCTAGTTCCACAGAGAAAGTGAAGAATTCCGCCCAGGCCGCCCACTTTAGAATGCCACAATCTGGGTGTCACCCAGTAGTGTTGAATAGACTTTGGGGGGATTTTCAGACAGCGTCTTATGATGATCCTCACCTTGGGCGGCTTTAGAAAAGGGCTAGTCTGGTTCTAGGTGAAGGTGGTCAGAATATTAGAATAAACAAAATTGGAAGGGACCTTGGAGGTCTTCTAGTCTATCCCTCTGGCTAAGGCAGGAGTCCTTTTACCATCTAGGATGAGTGGCTGTCCAGTCTCTTCTTAAAACCTCTAGTGATGGAGAACCCACAACAGACTGGACAGACTTGAACTCTGGGCACTAACTAACAAAATGAAATTCAATGGTGAAAAAAGCAAGGTTCTATATTTAGGCAAGAAAAACCAAATGCACAAGTACAGCATAGGTGGTACCATGCTCAATAGTAGTAACTGTGAGAGGGACCTCGGAGTCCTAGTAGACAATCACCTAAATATGAGCCAGCAGTGTGCTGCAGCTGCCAAAAAGGCCAACACAGTGCTAGGCTGCATTAACAGAGGGATAGAATCAAGATCACGTGAAGTATTAATACCACTCTTCAATGCCTTGGTAAGGCCACACTTGGAATACTGCATCCAGTTTTGGTCACCACGATGTAAAAAAGATGTTGAGACTCTAGAAAGAGTACAGAGAAGAGCAACAAAGATGATTAGGGGACTGGAGGCTAAAACATATAAGGAACGGTTGCTAGAATTGGGTATGTCTAGTTTAACGAAGAGAAGGACAAGGGGGGACATGATAGCAGTATTCCAATATCTCAGGGGCTGCCATAAAGAAGAGGGAATTAAGCTATTTTCCAAAGCACCTGAAGGCAGGACAAGAAGCAACGGGTGGAAACTAATCAAGGAGAGAAGCAACCTAGAACTAAGGAGAAACTTCCTGACAGTGAGAACAATTAATCAGTGGAACACCTGCCTCCAGAAGCAGTAAATGCTCCAACACTGGAAGTTTTTAAGAAGAGACTGGACAGCCATTTGTCCGAAATGGTGTAGGGTTTCCTGCCTGAGCAGGGGGTTGGACTAGATGACCTCCAAGGTCCCTTCCAACTTTACTATTATTATTATCATTCATCGCACAGTCAGCCAGATGTTCAGACTGGATTTGGCATTTTGTCTACCTATCGAGTCCTTACCCAGGACCTGGGATAGGCAGATGTGGATGTTTGATGGTATTACAGGTATCGTCGCAGGATGGAAGCAGTTCCTAATAAGGCCGCCTTTTGCAATTGACTAATAGCGAATTTGTCAATGCCAATGGTGTTCAAGTGGTGCTCCAGTTGTTTTGGGATTGCACCCAAGGAGCCTATGACTATTGGTACTACCCTTGCTTGCTTTTGCCACAGTCTTTCTATTTCTATTTGTAGGTCTTTGTATTTTGTTATCTTCTCCAGTTCTTTCTCTTCTATTCTGCTATCTCCAGGCACTGCCACGTCCACTATCCAGACTTTTTTGTCTTTCTTATCGACAATTGTTAAGTCTGGGGTGTTATGTTGCAGGTGCTTGTCTGTTTGAATTCTGAAGTCCCAGAGCAGTTTAATTTTATCATTTTCTATGACTTTCTCTATTTTATGATCCCACCAGTTTTTGCTTACAGGCAAATGATATTTTTTGCAGATCTTCCAATGCACCATTGTTGCTACTTTGTCATGCCGCTGCTTGTAATCAGTCTGTGCAATCTTCTTGCAACAGCTTACCAAGTGGTCCACTGTTTCTTCAGCTTCTTTGCATAGGCGGCACTTACTGTCTGTTGCTGTCTTCTCAATGATGACAGATGATGACTAGATGACCTCCAAGGTCCCTTCCAACTTTACTATTTATTATTATTATTATTATCAATCATCGCACAGTCAGCCAGATGTTCAGACTGGATTTGGCATTTTGTCTACCTATCGAGTCCTTACCCAGGACCTGGGATAGGCAGATGTAGATGTTTGATGGTATTACAGGTATCGTCGCAGGATGGAAGCAGTTCCTAATAAGGCCGCCTTTTGCAATTGACTAATAGCAAATTTGTCAATGCCAATGGTGTTCAAGTGGTGCTCCAGTTGTTTTGGGATTGCGCCCAAGGAGCCTATGACTATTGGTACTACCCTTGCTTGCTTTTGCCACAGTCTTTCTATTTCTATTTGTAGGTCTTTGTATTTTGTTATCTTCTCCAGTTCTTTCTCTTCTATTCTGCTGTCTCCAGGCACTGCCACGTCCACTATCCAGACTTTTTTGTCTTTCTTATCGACAATTGTTAAGTCTGGGGTGTTATGTTGCAGGTGCTTGTCTGTTTGAATTCTGAAGTCCCAGAGCAGTTTAATTTTATCATTTTCTATGACTTTCTCTATTTTATGATCCCACCAGTTTTTGCTTACAGGCAAATGATATTTTTTGCAGATCTTCCAATGCACCATTGTTGCTACTTTGTCATGCCGCTGCTTGTAATCAGTCTGTGCAATCTTCTTGCAACAGCTTACCAAGTGGTCCACTGTTTCTTCAGCTTCTTTGCATAGGCGGCACTTACTGTCTGTTGCTGTCTTCTCAATTTTGACTTTGTATGCATTTGTCCTTAAGCTTGGTCTTGTGCAGCCAGAATTAATCCTTCGGTTTCTTTCTTCAATTTTCCTGCTCTTAGCCATTGCCAGGTTTTATTATTATCTGCTTTCCCAGCTATTTTTTTAATGTATTGGCCATGTAGTGCTTTGTCTTCCCATGCCTCTATTTTGTTCTTCATTTGGTCTTTCTTGTAGGCCAGTTTGGTCTCTCCAGTAGTTAGTAAGCCTTCCTGATATACTAATTTCAGTGCATCTTCATCATTGTTCTTCAGATATTCTTCCAAAGCCATTTTTTCTTCTTCAACCATCTGATGTACTTGTAGCATTCCACGCCCACCTATTTGCCTTGGTAGATAAAGTCTATCAATGTCACTGCGTGGATGAAGGGCATGATTCATTGTCATTATTTTTCTGGTCTGCCTATCCATTGCTTTTAGTTCTGCTTGAGTCCAGTCCACTATTCCAGCTGTGTACCTAATGACTGGGATTGCCCAGGTGTTGATTGCCTTTATGGTATTTCCTCCATTGAGTTTGGACTTTAAGATCTTCTTCACTCTCTTGATGTATTCACCTCTAATCTTTTTCTTGACTTCAGTGTGCTTGATGTTGTCAGCTTGAAGGATACCCAAGTATTTGTAGTACTCTTCCTCATCCAGACTCTTAATGTTATTTTCGTGGGGCATCTTGATTCCTTCAGTTTTCTATTTTTCCTTGTTTGATAGTAAGTGTGGCACATTTGTCCAAGCCAAACTCCATTACAATATCTTGGCTATATATACGGACAGTGTTGAGCAGCGATTCTATTTCAGATGATGTTTTTCCATACAGCTTCAGATCATCCAGTCTAGCAGATGTTTTTGATGTTTGATGTCCTGAGTTATTCAGTATTGTTGACAGAGGAAACAGTGCAATAACAAATAGTAATGGTGATAATGAATCTCCTTGAAATATTCCTCTCTTGATATTAACCTCTCCCAGCTTTTCACCATTGATCTGCAACTGTGTCTTCCATTGTGCCATCGATCTTTGCTGACTACTTCTTGTCTAAGCCAGAGAGTCAAATGCCTCAATGTGCCACATTCATGCAGTTTTCCAAGATCATTTTGTCTATTAGGAGTTGATACTTTCTGCTCAGGTGGAAAGAGATTGTTTTCAACTAGATGCTGTTGTACTGCATCAGCTACCACACCAGTTAGTAATTTGAAAGTTGTTGGTAAGCAGGTAATTGGCCTGTAGTTACCTGGTGTTGCCCCTTTTGCTGGATTTTTCATTATTAGGTAGGTTTTCCCAGTTGTTAGCCACTTTTCAATTTCTCCTCCTTGTAGTATATTGTTGAACTGCTTGGCAATGAGTGGGTGTATAACAGTTAGATGTTTCAACCAAAACCCATGCAGTTCATCTTCACCTGGTGCTGACCAATTTTTGATTTTCTTTGCTCTTTTTTCTACCATTTTTGTTGTTATTACTAGTTCTTTCATTTCAACTTCTGTTTTATTTGCATCCACCTCTTTTAACCAAGCCGCATCCTTGTTGTATTTCTTTGGGTTATCCCATATCTGCTTCCAGAACTGCACTGTTTCTTCCTTGTCAGGTACTGACTGATTCCTTGCAGTTTCTCCATTGATGGATTGGTAGAAACGTTTCTGATTGGATTGAAATTGGAGGTTCTGCCTATAGTTTGCAATTCGAGCTTTATATCTACTGATTTTCCTGGCTATAGCTGTTATTTGTTGCTTTATTATTTCCAGTGCTTCCTTGATCTTCCTTGTTTCTAAGTGGTATTTCTTGATTAGGTATTCTTTGGTCTTCTTGTTCTTCAGCTTCTTTTCTTTCATCTGTTCTAGCTTGCTTGCATGTGATCTTAACTTGCTGATCACATGCAAGCAAGCTATTATTATTATTATTATTATTATTATTATTATTATTATTATTATTATTACATCTGAAGGCAACTTCCATTCCACTGGTTGATTGTCCTCACTGTCAGGAAGTTTCTCCTTAATTCCAGGTTGCTTCTCTCTTTGATCAGTTTCCATTCATTGTTTCTTGTCTTGCCTTCTGGTGCTTTTTGACCCCTTCTTCTTTGTGACAACCCTCCAAATATTGCAGCACTGCTATCATGTCACCCCTAGTCCTTCTCTTCACTAAACTAATAAACCCAATTCCTGCAACCATTTTTCGTATGTTTTAGCTCCAGACCCCTAATCATCTCTGTTGTTTTTCTCTGCACTCTTTCAAGAATCTTAACATCTTTTTTATAGTGTGGAGACCAAAACTGAATGCAGTAATCTAGGGGTGGTCTTACCAAGGCATTGTGAAGCAGTAGTAATAGTTCAGGTGATCTTGATTCTATCCCTCTGCAACCCAGGACTGTATTGGCAACCCAGGACTGTATTGGCTTTTTTGGCAGCAGCTCCTAGCCTTAAGGGCTGCAACTGCTGCCAGAGGTGCCAGGCTTGGGCTGCCAGCTGTTAGAAATAGGAGGGGCATCATCGCACTTGGGGAGCAGGACTGAAGATGCAGTGAGCCTTCGGTCCCATCTATTTTAAAAGAGCTGCCAGGCTATTACCTTGAAGCGAGTCTCCTTCTCCAAGTAGACCGAGGCGAGTCCGTGCTGCCACTCGGGGCCCTGGCTCCCTATTTGGCTCCACACCACCATCTCTGACCCCTCCCACAAGAGGGTCACGTGCAGCTCATTGAAGTCCTCGGCGCCAAACATGTGATAGCGGAAGTCGATGCACACCTCTCCGGAGGCCATCAGCTGGGGACTCTCCAGTCTGTTGAGGTCGTAGGGAACCAGGTTGCTGGCCTCCTGGTAGATGAAGTAGCCTCCTGCAAGAAGAAGGGCAGATGCTCCAAGGGCCTTCATTGGGACAAGGGGGGAGCAAGAGAGGCGAAGGGCCCAGACGTGCCAAGCGAAGGGGGGGATAAGGTGAGATCAAAGAGCCCTGATCAGCTTCATGCCGTGTGTGCTTAGTGCAAACCACATCAGTCATCTCAGGACTTTGCAGGACAGCCATTTGTCTGAAATGGTGTAGGGTTTCCTGCCTGAGCAGGGGATTGGACTAGATGACCTCCAAGGTCCCTTCCAACCCTATTATTCTATTCTATTCTATTCTATTCTATTCCATTCCATTCCATTCCATTCCATTCCATTCCATTCCAATCTATTCTATTCTATTCTATTCTATTCTATTCTATTCTATTCTATTCCATTCCATTCCATATTTATTCCATTCCATTCCATATTTATTCTATTCTATTCTATTCTATTCTATTCTATTCTATTCCATTCCATTCCATTCCATATTTATTCTATTCCATTCCATTCCATTCCATTCCATATTTAATCTATTCTATTCTATTCTATTCTATTCTATTCTATTCTATTCTATTCTATTCTATTCTATTCTATTCTATTCTATTCTATTCTATTCCATTCCATTCCATTCCATATCTATTCTATTCTATTCTATTCTATTCTATTCTATTCTATTCTATTCTATTCTATTCTATTCTATTCTATTCTATTCCATTCCATATTTATTCTATTCTATTCTATTCTATTCTATTCTATTCTATTCTATTCTATTCCATTCCATATTTATTCCATTCCATTCCATATTTATTCTATTCTATTCTGTTCTGTTCTGTTCTGTTCTATTCCATTCCATTCCATATTTATTCTATTCTATTCTATTCTATTCTATTCTATTCTATTCTATTCTATTCTATTCTATTCTATTCTATTCCATTCCATTCCATTCTAATGTCCCATCATCCCTGTCTAAGGACCAATCATCCTTGGCCAAGGGGATGGGGTCTAAGGGCAGTTGGAATCCAGCCCCTGGAACACCCACCCAGCTGCCCACTCAACCAGGTGGCCACAACTTCTTCTAGCCTGCTCCTGTCTTCCGGGGAACCTCACTCAGGCCCAAAGAGAGATGGATGTCCCAGCTACACTGAGCGAGTGGGGGAGGGGTGCATGACCCCTTGACCCATGAGGAAGGGGACCAAGGGTCAGGGAGAATGGGGAGGGGGCTTTCCCGATTGCAGTCATGGAGCACTTACTTCCATCCGGATAGTCCCCACTTGGGCCGGTGTCGGGAGTGGGCGTATCGTGCTTCGTGCGGATCCAGGTGCCTTGGTTGGTGCCACAGGTTTGGGTCCAGTCGCAAAAGGGCCAGGAGTTGTTGTTGAAGTCACAGCTGGCCAGGTAGTCTGAAATGGGGAGGGGGAAACACAGTGAAGAACGGGCAGGCATCCTTCTCAGCAGCCTCCCTCCACCTGGCAGCCTTGAAAAAGAACTCCCATCATCCACAGCTAATGGGCTGGCAAGAAAACCTGAAAAGGGTTTTCCAAGATGCTCGAGAGATGCTGAGTTGGGGGGGGAGAAAGATACTTTAAACTCATCTGACAGGAATGGGGGGGGGCTATACCTGTATCGCGAGTCCAGCTCTCCAAACCAGCTGCCCAGTTGCCACCTTCTCTCCTGCCAAGGGAAGACAGGAAAAGTCAGGCGTTATCCAGGTGCCCACATCCTTCCCACAAGACAAGCGAGACCGACTGATCCATGGTGAGTAGAGCAGGGGGTCCCGAGGAAAATGCATGGGGGGCAGTGCAAGAGAGCAAAGTGCTCCCCATCAGTATGGTGTGGGAAAGGACCACGGAGACTGAGAATAGAATAGAATAGAATAGAATAGAATAGAATAGAATAGAATAGAATAGAATAGAATAGAATAGAAAATAGGGAATGGAATGGAATGGAATGGAAGAGAAGAGAAGAGAAATAGAAAAAAGGAATAGAATAGAATAGAATAGAATAGAATAGAATAGAATAGAATAGAATAGAATAGAATAGAATAGAAAATATGAAATGGAATGGAAGAGAAGAGAAATAGAAAAAAGGAATAGAATAGAATAGAATAGAATAGAATAGAATAGAATAGAATAGAATAGAATAGAATAGAATAGAATGGAAAATAGGGAATGGAATGGAAGAGAAGAGAAGAGAAATAGAAAAAAGGAATAGAATAGAATAGAATAGAATAGAATAGAATAGAATAGAATAGAATAGAATAGAATAGAATAGAATAGAATAGAATAGAAAATAGGGAATGGAATGGAAGAGAAGAGAAATAGAAAAAAGGAATAGAATAGAATAGAAAATATGGAATGGAATGGAAGAGAAGAGAAATATAAAAAAGGAATAGAATAGAATGGAATAGAATAGAATAGAATAGAGAAAAGGAATAGAATAGAATAGAATAGAATAGAATAGAATAGAATAGAATAGAATAGAATAGAATAGAATAGAATAGAATATAGGAGGACTGCTATCATGTCACCCCTAGTCCTTCTTTTCAAGGAGCTGACACCAACAAGGTCTAGCTTGTGTGTTGAGTACCCAACAAACTTTTCATGTCAAAATGCATTGAATACCAAATTCTATGAGTTTCAAAGCAGTTGAGTTGAATTGAATCGAATTGAGTAGGTTTATTTGGTTTACTTGAATCGAATTGAGTAGGTTTATTGTGGTTAGACACACAAGCACCCCCCTGTACTTGCAAAACAGCAGAGAAAATAATAGTAATAATACTAAAAGTGTGCAACTAGTAGAAAGGGGATGCAGGTAGTCCTCAACTTATGACCACAACTGAGCTGAAAACCTATGTTGCTAAGTGAGACATTTGTTAAGTGAGTTTTGCCCCACTTTACGACTTTTCTTGCCACATTTGTTAAGCAAATCACTGCAGTTGATACAAACTGGGGAAAGAGAATAAAAATGAAGAGATGCCATAATATATTAGGTATTATAATGTGCTTTTTTTCTGTTTAATCACAACCAATTTTCAGCGGCTGTCTGGAAAACGTCCCTGCAGGTTTTGTAGCAAGGTTTCTGAGCTGCTTTGCCATTGCCTCCTTCCTTGGGCTGAGAGAAAGTGACTGGCCCAAGGCCAACCAGCAGGTTTTGCGCCAAAGGCGGGAGTAGGACTCTCCGCCTCTTGGTTGCTAGCCTGGTGCCTTAATCACCACATCAAACTGACTCTCACGACAGACAACAAGGAAATGCAATTTTTTTTAAAAAAATATGCAGAATTATATAACAACGGGGAAGTTCCAAAGGAGAAAATAGATGAATATCTAGACAAATCAAAATTGCCTAACCTAACAGAACATCAAAAAGAGGGGTTGAATGAGGATCTTAAAGTTTGAAAAAAACCTGAACTAATTAATCCAAGTGTCAACGCTGCTAACATCGGATGTTCTTGCTTTGATAACAGATGGAGATGCAGCCATTTTCATTCTTATGTTTTACTCTTAGACTTAGAGTTAGAATTAGATGATACTGGGGGGGGGGGAGTAGGAGGAACGTGCATGAGAGTTTAGTTAGACATAACAATATTGTAACTAGTGTGAGAACCAAGGTTTTTTTTTTAAAACAAGAGATGATAAGGAATGGCGGGCTGGAGAACTGGAGGGAAAGCCTGCATTTCAAACTAATTGGAGAATGTGATTTATGACTGTTAATTGGAGGAGGAAATTGTGTTTTGATACTATGTGCTCAGGGGAGGGGAATTCAGATTTTGGCTTCGCCTATATACGTGCCGATGTGATGCTACTCGAATAAAGATTCTTTAAGGTAAGGAGTGCCTCGAAGTTCTTTGAAGAGTTTCCTCTGTCGGAACCAGGACACCAAGATCTCTGGAGATTCTCCATCATCCAGGCCATGGTTGTCCCAAAAGTACTTTTTCAAAAATTAACTGGACTGTGGTTTTTTTTTTTTTTTCCTTGAGAAAGACAGCTTCCTTCTCATCCAGAGAGAGCCGAGGTGGCGCAGCAGTTAGAGTGCAGTACTGCAGGCCACTTTAGCTGACTGTGTTCAGCAGGTCAGCGTTTCAAATCTCACCGGCTCAAGGTTGACTCAGCCTTCCATCCTTCCGGGGTAGGTAAAATGAGGACCCAGATTGTTGGGGGCAATGTAAATATATATATACATTGCTTACTGGTGTACACCGCTTAGAGAGTGCTTGCACTTAAAGCGGTATATAAGTCTCATAAATAAATAAATAAATAAATAAATCCAAGAATCTTCATGGGTTCATCAGAAGCGATGGAGCTTCTTGCATTAAAATGTGAATCCTACTCCAATATTTCTTTGCTTTATCACATGTCCACCATAAATGGTAAAAAGTCCCCTTTACATTTACATTTCCAACATTCATTTGACATACCTTTATACATTCTAGACAACTTATCTGGTGTTAAATACCAGCAGTACATCAACTTATAAAAGTTTTCTTTTAAGTTATAGTTTAGCATCACATTATACCCAAAGTTCCTTCCCCACTGAATCATACAGTGTTTAACCTGTTCACTTCAAGATTCGATGTTCATGCCTTATTCCACTGTAACAGAGGGAATCTTCTCTTTTTTCCCTTCCCTTCCCGATGTTTGCTTTTGTATTTTCATATTTTATAAGCAAATAAAAATCTTTAAAAAAAAAACAAACGATGAAGCTTCTTGGATGAGAAGCGAAATGTCTTCCTGAAGAGGAAAAAAACAAACAGCCCAGTTAACGTTTGAAAAAGCACCTTTGGGATAGCAGCGTTCCAGTATCTCAGGGGCTGCCCCAAAGAAGAGGGAGTCAAGCTATTCTCCAAAGCGCCTGAAGGCAGGACAAGAAGCAACAGATGGAAGCTAACCAAGGAGAGAAGCAAACTGGAACTAAGGAGAAACTTCCTGACAGTGAGAACAATTCGCCAGTGTAATGGCTTGCCACTTGAAATTGTGAATGCTCCATCACTGGAGGTTTTTAAGAAGAGACTGGACAGCCGTTTGTCCGAAATGGTATAGGGTTTCCTGCCTGAGCAGGGGGTTGGACTAGATGACCTCCAAGGTCCCCTCCAACTTTATTACTACTACTATTACTATATGGATCATCGCACAGTCAGCCAGATGTTCAGACTACCTATCGAGTCCTTACCCAGGACCTGGGATAGGCAGATGTGGATGTTTGATGGTATTACAGATATCGTCGCAGGATGGAAGCAGTTCCTAGTAAGGCCACCTTTTGCAATTGACTAATAGCGAATTTGTTGTTATTGTTGTTGTTGTTATTATTATTATTATTATTATTATTCAGCCAACTCTGGCCCTGCCTGCTCCTCCTCCTCTCTGGAGCCTTTAAAAAGGGGGCAGAGACTGGGGACCCCGGAGTCCCTCCCTCCTTCCTGTTGGTCCCACTCTCCTTGTTTCCTTCTCCTGCCCAGCCTCATGGGCTCTGTAGCTCCTGGGCCAGACGGAGCCTCGTCAGGGCATTGTGTCACCTGCCAATCTCGGGTGTTGGCAGCTCAAAGGTGTCTTGGCACAGGTGGGGCAAAGGCCCCTCCCTAGAGAGGAGCCAGGGCAAGCAGGAAACTGGGAGCAGGATGACAGTCTCTGGGGCAAAGGTGACCCCCCACCCTCTTCCCTCCCCCGCTTTCCACTTCCTCGCCTGCTCCCCCCCTCCCCTCCCCTCCCCCTCCCCTCCCAAAGCAGCCCTGCCTGTGGACAGAGACAGTCAAAGGCATCAGGTAGTCCTTGACTTACAACCCCAGTTGACCCCCCCCCAAAGTTCTGTTGCTGAGTGAGACAATTGTTAAGTGAACTTTGCTCCTTATAACAACCTTTCTTGCCACAGTTGTCACTGCGGTTGTTAAGTTAGTAACACGGTTGTTAAATGAATCCAGCTTCCCTGTTGACTTTGTTTGTCAGAAGGTAGCAAAAAGGGGATCACGTGACACCCCCCCCCCCGGGATGCTGCGACCATCATAAGTATGAGTCAGTGGCCAAGCGTCTGAATTTGGATCACGTGGCCACGGGGATGCTGCAATGGTCGTAAATGTGAAAAATGGTCATTTTTCCAGTGCCGTTGTAACTTGGAACAATCACTAAATGAACTTGGACTGCCTGTAATGGACTACCCACCCTTTGTGGCATCACAATGATTGGCTTTGCAGCTAGACAGTTGTGTAGAAGAGCCAGCGGCTGCATTCACACAACCTGGGAAGCATAATGAATATTATCCTGGGTCGCGGCATATTGTGAGTTATTTCTACCCAGTCTGTTGGTTAATTGATGGCTTGATTCATTGTACACACTCTGAAAGCAGGCTGGTTTCATCCCCAGGTTCCATGCATTGTATGAATACAAGGCAGGCTATCGGCATCTTCCCACATTACAGATCAGAAAAGGTCAGTTTGGTCTAGTTATAGTTTAAGGCAACAGGCTGCAGAACGGGAGACGGTGAGTTCTAGTCCTGCCTTAGGCATGAAAGCCAGCTGGTGACTTTAGGCAAATCCCTGCAAGAAAGGGACCCCCCAGGAGGTCATAGCTAGGGTCTTAACCACAGTTAGGGGAAAGGTCTTTATCCGAGTTGATCTGGTAGCCAAGGATGCTTTGGCACTTCAAGGAGAACTTCTTAATGGGACTTCAGCTGCACAGCTTAACATTAACGATCTCTCTCTCTCTCTCTCTCTCTCTCTCTCTCTCTCTCTCTCTCTCTCTCTCTCTCTCTCTCTCACACACACACACACACACACACACACACACACACACACACACACACACACACCGATATAATTTGCTAGTCAAATATAGACAAGTGACAGAAGACAGAGCCAAGTTTTGCTCCGGTGGGAAAAGACGAGAGGAGGAGGAGGAGGAGGAGGAGGAGGAGGAGGAGTAGTGAGGATAATAAACCTTGCTAACAACTCAGAGAGAAGCCCCCAGATGTTGGCTTTCCTCAGGCAGCCCAGAAGTCACATCTGGCAGAGGCAGGCAAGAGCCATTCCCATGCCAGCATCTCCACATTGTCCCAGGGGCACCACAGGCAGAGGAAGAACGGCGAGAAACTGACAAGAACTTCCCAGTTGTTCATCTGATCACGCTCTCAGAAAAGAAGCAGAGACGGACGTTTAACATTCATTAACCGGATCCCTTGCAAAGGGGGGGGCTGAACGGCTTACCCTCGGCTCTCGTGCACGGCAAAGAACAGGAAGACCCAAGTGCCCAGCAGGCACCACCTGGTCCCCATGATGCTGGGCAGCATTAGAAGCTGCTGCTGCTGCTGCTCCTGCTGTTGGTTCTTGTCACCGTCCCTGTGTGTAGCTGCTCCACATAGTCTCAATGCTACCCGGCTGCAGCCAGGAGCAGAGTGAGGACCGGCCTTGGGTGACACAGCCTCAAGAAGAACGACAGGAGGGCGGAGTCCCAGCAGGTTTCTCCCATCAGGTGTGAACACAGGTGAAACCAAGGTGAACGAAGCGAGACCCTGGTCGGAGGAAGCCCAGGTGTGAGGCTGAGTCTTGCTGTTCTCACAACCAGCCAAATGTTGCCCAGGAGTCTGCTAGATCTCAGGGGGGGCTGTGGCCAAAAGCGGGGTGTGTGGGCAGGCTGAGACCCTCCTGCTTAGGATCCAGATGCTTCAGCCAGAGGGTGCCCTTCAAGGAGCGGGGGCTGCGCTTTCCCTCCTCATGGCAAATGCAGAAGAAACAAAGAATAGAATTTCAGTTGGACAAGGTGGACCTTTCCTAGCGCACAGCCCCCCCTCCCCCCGATCTCCTTGGACAATGGGCAACGAGCCTGGATGACATCCTAGACCAGGGGTGGGAAACCTTGGCTCTTTTATGACTCGTGGACTTCAACTCCCAGAATTCCTGAGCCAGCTCTGCTGGCTCAGGAATTCTGGGAGTTGAAGTCCACGAGTCATAAAAGAGCCAAGGTTGCCTACCCCTGTCCTAGACCCACTGGCTCAACCTGGGTCATTTCTTCTGTGGTTCCCTCTTTCCAGGAGCTGGCTGGGTCCCCCTGGTCAGCCATAATCTGGGGATGCAGCCTCGGCTTTGCAGTCCCTCTCCTGTTGGGTTTTGGCCAGGATTTCTTCTCCAGGGAAGGGAATCTGTCTGCCTGATGTTCCTCTGCCCTAGTCCTCCCTTCCAAGGGAAGGGGGGGGGCATTTGGTGGCCTCATGGCCATCGCTGGGGAAGGCTGGATGGAGAGTGTACAGAACCACAGAGTTGGGAGGGACCTCGAAGGTCTTCTAGTCCAACCCCCTGCTCAAGAAGGAGATCCTACACCATTCCAGACAAATGGTTGTCCAGTCTCTTCTTGAAAATCTCCAGTGATGGAGCATCCACATCTGGTGGCAAGGCGTTCCACCGGTTAACTGTCCTCACTGTCAGGAAGTTTCTCCTTAGTTCCAGGTTGCTTCTCTCCTTGATTAACAGAATAACATAGTGGGAAGGGGCCTTGGAGGTCTTCTAGTCAAACCCCTAGCCCAAGGCAGGAGACCCTATGCCATTTCAAACAAATATCTCTCCAGTCTCTTCTTAAAAACCTCCAGTGATGGAGCATCCCACAACCTCTGGAGGCAAGGAGTTCCACGGGTTGATTGTTCTATCAGGAAATTCCTCCTTAATTCCAGGTTGCTTCTCTCCTTGGTTAGCTTCCATCCAACTGTTTCTCGTCCTGCCTTCAGCTGCTTTGGAGAAGAGATTGACGCCCCTCTTCTTTGTGGCAGCCCCTCAAGGAAGCTTCCCTGACACTGTGCAGGGCTCGCGTTCACTTCCCACCATACAGAGCATTGTGGATTTATCTTTCAAAGACGTTCCCGCAGTGGGACCTAGCCAGAAAGATATAAGACAGCCAAGTTCGGTTTTGTGTGGTCTGCAGCAGCCCAGTTCCTCTCTGCCCTGGTGAGGCCAAGGGCTGCACCCAACCAAGATCATAAGCGGAGTCTTTCCACCCAGTTCCTGCTTGCAAAGCCAGCATCCCAGCCGGCCCTGGCCTGCCAAGACGCCACCGTCTCTCCTGGAAATCAGCCGCTCCCAGGATTGTGCGTGTGCATTTCTTCTACGCTTGGCTTGAATCTGGCTCTCACAAAAACATTACTATGGTTCTGAAAGCAGCCCCTCGCTCGTTATTTAAATGGAAAAATAGTTGCGGAAAAAAGGGCCTCCTGGTCTCCCTCTGAATGCCTGCCTGGAAGTCAAACTGAATGTCTAAGATGGGAGAGGCCGGGCTTGGCAGCAGCCTGCCTGGAAAGGATCTGGCATCCTCAATCCACACTCAAACGTGAGCCAGCAGTGTGATGCAGCTGCTGAAAAGGCCAATACAATCCCAGATGCCTTAAGAGGAATGTCTAAGGCAGGGGTAGGCAGCCTCGGCTCTTTTATGACTCATGGACTTCAACTTACGAATGCCTTGGTAAGGCCACACTTGGAATGCTGCATCCAGTTTTGGTCACCACGATGTAAAAAAGATGTTGAGACTCTAGAAAGAGTACAGAGAAGAGCAACAAAGATGATCAGGGGACTGGAGGCTAAAACTTACAAGGAACGGTTGCTAGAATTGGGTATGTCTAGTTTAATGAAGAGAAGGACGAGGGGGGACAGGATAGCAGTGCTCCAATATCTCAGGGGCTGCCCCAAAGAAGAGGCAGTCAAGCTGTTCTTCAAAGCCCCTGAAGGCAGGACAAGAAGCAACGAATGGAAACTAACCAAGGAGAGAAGCAACCTAGAACTAAGGAGAAACTTCCTGACAGTGAGAACAATTAACCAGTGGGACAGCCTGCCTCCAGAAGCAGTAAATGCTCCAACACTGGAAGTTTTTAAGAAGAGACTGGACAGCCATTTGTCCGAAATGGTGTAGGGTTCCTGCCTGAGCAGGGGGTTGGACTAGATGACCTCCAAGGTCCCTTCCAACTTTACTACTATTACTACTCCCAGAATTCCTGAGTCAGCTATGCTATGCTCCTGAGGTGGACAGGAAAAGTTATAAGAAATATTTTAATCAATATTAAGCTTGCCTAAATAAAATAACCTGTGTGCTAATACTATGAAGAAAACATTTTACAAGAAGTGTCATCTGAAAGTCACAGATGTAGGGAGGTGTGGTAAGATAGCCGTTTGTGTGAACTTCTCCTGTCTCTCTGTAGCCTCAAGATATAAAGTTCTCCATTGCAGTGTGTCAAAAGGAGATAAGAGTCACCCTGAGGACAAGGCGTGGGTGGCTAGTGGTATACGAATTACTCCCTGGAAGTAGCCCGGGGTTCAGAATCTGTCATGCTAATGCTCTGAACCATTGTGTACAAATAAACCTGTTTTCTCTAACCCTTTGTGGTCTTGTCTTCTGATGTAAGTATCGTGGTTTTTCCACAACACTCCAAGATGGCGAGCCTCAATCAGCCCCTCCCTCTGTCCAATGTCGGCCATGCGAAGCGCCTAGAGATGACGTCTCACGCGCGGAGCAGGTGTTGGCCGCGCGGCAGCACCGATGGATACATGGGAGGAGGCCAGCACCGCTGCGACCAGCTCCCCTGTTCAAGGGCTGCTGCAACTGATGCCACCAGTGCAGTACCGACCAGCCAACGGTGCTAACGGAGCAGGCGGCGCCGGTAAAATGCAGGTGGGGTTGCTGGTTGGCGGCGGGGTTGGCTGGCGGCGTTCCTGCCTTACAACGAGTCGGCCTCGCAGGGCTTGACACCCGTGGTCTAGGGAGACTCTCTTTCCTGCAGGTCAGGGTTGTCCCCAAAGCTGCTTTTTCAAAAGACATCTGGACTTTTCCCTTGAAGGCATTTCGCTTCTTATCCAAGAAGCTTCTTAAGTTCTGAGGGAATGGTGGAGGATGGAAGTATTTATATTCCTTATATTCCTTCATTGAGGCCTTTGAACTCTGGTGCTGGAGAAGACTCCTGTGGGTCTCCTGGACTGCAAGGCGATCCAACCGGTCAGTCCTGGAGGAGATCAACCCCGACTGCTCTTTAGAAGGCCACATCCTGAAGTTGAAACTCAAGTACTTTGGCTGCCTAATGAGAAGGAAGGACTCCCTGGAGAAGAGCCTCATGCTGGAAAGATTGAGGGCAAGAGAAGAAGGGGATGACAGAGGTGGCCGGATAGAGTCCCTGAAGCAGGAGGCATGAGCTTCAATGGGGTCCAGAAGGTGGTAGAGGACAGGAAGGCCTGGAGGAATGTTGTCCATGGAGCCGCAATGGGTCGGACACGACTTTGCAACTAACAACAACAAATTCCTTCATTTTTATTCAAGGAATATAAATCCTTCCATCCTCCACCATTCCATCAGAACTGAAGAAGCTTCTTGGATGAGAAGTGAAACATCTTCAAGGAAAAAGTCCAGTGGCCTTTTGAAAAAGCAGCTTTGGGACTGAGGGAAGTTAGCCCCCCCCCCAGGAGGAAATATTAAAAAGGAAAAAATATTTTTCACCAAAAGCGTTTTTTGAAAACCAGAAACCAAACCTGGCCCCAAATTTCTTTGCTCCAGGCAAGAGCTAACCTCATAGAAATGCAGATATAAGACCATTAGGAAGGTTGGAGCCAGGGAACTCAAGACTCTTAAGAGTCATTAGCCCAGCCCCAGGGAAGCAGGAGATGACTTTTTGGGACATAATAGGACTAACCTATTACCATCAAGTATACCATAGAGGCACACCTAAACTCAGGTCAGAATACGTGACACAGGAAATAGCCTCAAAGTTCATGCCACAGGAACAGGAAACTATTCCAAACAAAAGGCTAGAGGATATATAAAAACCTACAACACCATGTGCTCAGCCCTTCTCTCCTCTGCTCTTTCCTGAAGAACCATCTTTCTGCAATAAACTGTAACCTTCTTCCCAAAGCAGTCGCCATGTTTGCTTATTTATTCCCGGCTTGGATGAACCAGGATGAAGACTTTACTTCTAACAGGACCATTGACAGAAAAGCAGAAGCCTGAAAGTCTCTGCTCCGCCTTGCTCAGATCCCCCGTGACATTCTTGGGTCCGGTTCTGGGCACCGGAGTTGGAGAAGGAAAAGTGAAAAATCGGAATGATAAAGGAGGGCTGAAACGAGGGGTCCTTGGGGCCCTCTGAGCTGGATGGTTTTCGTGACCCAAACGAGGTAACCTCATTAGTGTCATCAGGAGGACCTCCGAGATCACCCCAACGATCCTGCTTCTCTGGGTTTTTTTTTGTCTGTTCGGCCTCTGTTTGGGCGAAGGAGGAGGAGGAGGAGGAGCAGGAGGAGGAGGAGGAGGAGGCAGCGAGAGGCAGCAATTTCCCCTGCGCTGATCTTGAACTTGCAGGAGTTCCTTTGCCACAGAAACAGTTGGGTTGTTGTTTGCTTGCTTTCCCCATATTTTATGGAA